ATTGAATTACTGTCAAATCATAATAATGCAATAATTATGATAAATGTAAAAGTAATAAATGGCTACAAATCTAATGATTATGATTAGTATCCGCTAGTTGAATAATATAATAATTCAGTGATTGAATAACATAGTGATTATGATTGGATAGAAAAATATTGAATTGCTGTGAAATCATAATAATGTATTGATTATGATTCGAAGTAACAATTTCAACTACCATGGAATCTTAATAATATGATGATTAAGATTATTCAAATTACCATCAAATTCTATTACTACAATCACTATGAAAAAAAAAAATTATTAACATCTCCAAACTAACAAAATTAGCGTTATAATTATAAATATTTAAAAAATCAAAAATATAATAAATTAATAAAAAAAAAAAAACAAATACTTCATTAAAAGAAAACATCCCAAACAACAATAACCAATTAAAGGAATCAGTAGAACCTACGAACCATATCCAAAACCCAAATAATAAAAAATTATACCACAAAACAAAAAAAAAAAGAATCACTACAAAAATTTAGAGATATAGAAATATCATGCTAATACTTGTAATATATTTTTGTTTTATAAGACGAAAATATTTCTAGATGAATAATTTCTTTCAAAGTATAAACTTTAAAAACTTAATATTTCATCTTGATTTCAGAGATAACTATGAAAAGTTATTTTTCTTTAACAAAATTAATTGAAAGAGAAGGAGAAAAGAGAGGGAGAGTAAAAGAGGAAGAGGGAGAGAGAAACAAATACGAAATCTAACACCCGTCTTATAATTAATCACTTTTGTTTTTTTTTTTTTCTTTCCTTTTTTTATTTTTATTTTTATTTTTCATTCATCATTTTCATTGCTTTTATTTTCCCAAAAATTCTTTCACATTTTTTTTCGTTTTTGCATCCTTTATTCTGGAACTTGTTGATAACATACCATTTCTTCTTCTTCCTCATCATTCTTTTCTTTCTTTTTCATTACCAATTAAATTTTCAAAAATATTGCTAAAATGAAGAAGAGAAGGAAAAAAAAAGAAAAAGAAAACGAGGCTTAATTTGTAGCACAATAAATATTTCATGAGATAAAACAAATGTTTGAAAAAGTTGCATTTTTTCTTTTTCTTTTAAAGTGAATGAAATTATTATCACATGTTTTTTTGTTATAATAGTTTCATCTATCATTTTTTTAAAAAAAGAGATTAAAAACTATAACAAGAAAATATCATTTACCTACACTTTCGCTTTCTTTTAAAGAAGAAAAGAAAGATATTAAAAATATTTGAAATTATTATATTTTACAGATTATTGTCTAATATTAATTTTAAATGGCAAAAAAAAGGAAGAGAATTTTGTAAGATTTTGTAATGTTGATAATTGTTTCAAACTGATAACAATTTAAAGATTATGGTAAATTGATATTTGTGATAGTGACTGATAATAAACATTTCTGTTGATATTGATTATAACGGATGATAATTATGGTAATAATAATAATAATAAGTAAATGATGCAGTTTCAAACAATGATTGATTTCTTTTTTATTTGTTGGGTGTGGAATTTGAACAATAGAAGTCCAAAAGTTTCAAATGAAAAGAATTGACAATGAATGAAGTATTACAATTGAATGCGACAAAAAAGCAAAAACGAACCATCCTGATTGTTCAAATGATAATAATGCAAATGGTGATAATATTAACGATAATGATGATTGTGATGAAGATGTTTATAATGATAATAATGATGACAAATAATGATAACATGACAAAATAAAGAAATAATAAAGTCATTAAATTATTTCATATTAATAATAATATTGTTAGTAATAACTTTATTGTTTACAAACTGTTATTTTATCGTTTACAAACACGTTACTTTTCACTATTTACAAACAAATTTCAATTACCAAAAAAAAAAGAGAGAAAAATCTACTAAAATATTTTATTCCCGAATTTATATTTAATTAATTTTTTTAGCATTATATTGGATATCTTATTTATGTTAACGATCACCAATATTTCTTTCACACTTGCACTAGTATTAAACTAACAGATTGGAGCTTAAATAATGAGTTACAAATTTAAATTTAAAAATTTTAAGTTTGATCAATTGTAGGGTCAATGCTATAACATGCTAAAATATCAGATTAACTTCCTCAGTAATTTTATATTATGCATCAGTGTAAAAAAAATGCAATTATTTCAAATAATTAGCAAGTAAAATTTTAATTCTGGCTTTAGTTTAATTGAGTGTGTCATGTAATGTCAAATATTACGATAAATAACAAACCAATTTGTAGCAAAAAAAAATTAACGGTACCATAAAACTTTTTCATTGCTTTTTTTAAGCATTTATCTTTAATTTTTACTACTTTGTATCATTCCTTTGCAAAAAAAAAAAAAAAAAAAAAAAGAACCGGAAAAAAAACCTATTGAAAAAAAAAATAAATAAAAATAAAAATTTTTTACTTTCTAATATATGCAATTAAAAAATAGTTTCTATAACTTGAAAAAAAAATCGCAATTAAATAAATAATAATAATAAATAGCAATCCTTTCATTTTTTTCTCCCATTAAAATTTAATATTTCATATTTCTTTTTTTGTGATTCAGAAGAACAAACAACAATAACGTAATAAATTGTTAATGGTTGTTTTCTTGTCACTTATTGAAACTCCTTTAGCATAAATAATGCACAAACATGTTTATCGCATTTTTTTCTTTGTTAATTAAATTAAAAATTTTCTTTCACTTTAACAGTTGTTGACAATGATATGACAATGATCGTAGTTTAAATGTTACATGAAATTTATAATGGTGGAATATATAAAATGTAAACTTGTAATTGTAATTAAATGTAATTCTTTCTTGATTCTATCAAATAATTTTATTTGACTGAAATTGTCATCTTTTTTATTTCAAACTATTCCCTAAAATTATTTATTAATTCATTTATTTCATTTAAATCATTAAATAATTGAAATAAAAAACAAGAAAGAAAAATACAGTATAGCTAGGGAAAAAAAGAAACGAAAACCAAATATGGAATATTTTTTTTTTTATAATAATTTATAAAATTTAAATATCTTTCTTTAATATTACATGAAACTCAATGTTAAATAAATTCTTTCAAGCAATAAACATATATACATATTTATGCATATTTTTTAAAAAAAAAAGGGGAAAGGTAAGAAAGAAAAGAAAAAATAGGAAAGAGGAAGGAAAAGAATGAAAAAAAAAAAAAAAAAAAAAAAAACATAAAGCAAGTTCATCGAATTAAAATTCCAACTCATCAACAATTTATAAAAATGTGTGGAAATTTGTCAGCAAATACTTTCAATAAATATTTAATTTGAATTTTTTTTGTCATAGTTATTATCATTGTCAACAATGAAGGTAATTTCTCATTACAATATTTTATTGGTTAATTAATTATTTCAAAACATATGTATATGTTTAGTGTAACATATTATTTTCGTACTGTTCAAATTATTTTAAACTTTTTTTAAAAAAAATTCTTTAAGATGACAAAATGCCATAATTTGATATTTTGCTAATTCTGGAACAAGTTTGCCGGAAGAAAATACTAAATGATAGAGGAAATAAGAAAAATATGAGTGAAAAATTTATCGATTTTTTTTTTTTGTCAAATCAAATATGATATAAAAATATCACACACCTATCATACAACTTCTAAAATTAATTCATAAACATCATTTGAAAATTTTATAAATGAAAAATGAGACTGTACAATTTAAGAAATTTCACACTTTGTAATATTTTAAAAAGAATAAATGAAAGTAACACATAACAAATGCAGTTTTCTTAAGGATTAAAAATATAAGTAAAAATTAAATAAACAAGGCCCAGAAGAACAAAACTGTTCATTTAGAAATTTGTTTGCTATAAATTTTCGAATAAAACAATAATATCTTTAATCTGATTTGCACAAATAATAATTTTAATTTCACAAAAAGTTAATCAAAAGATTAACTTCTACAATTGTTACAACACATCACATAAGAAAGTTTGGTTTTTCCTAATAAAAGAATTTTACAAAATATAAAAGTATTTGCCAAGGATTTAATTAAAACATAAAAAACAAATGGGTGAGACATTTAGTTCCAATTTCAAATATATGCTTAATATAAATACTAAGTGATGTGAAATGTAATGACTGAAAAACAATTACTTTATAATTACTCATAGTTATTTAGATCTTCTTGATTATTACTTCTTGCAAAGTGTGTCAGAAAATTCATGAAGTAAATTTGAAACTCACAAATTACGGAAATTGGTAGGATAAAAATTATTGAGACTGTTGAAAATTTCAAAACGTTTTGTTGAAACTTTGATTTCTTTTTTTTTAAACTTTCACTCATGAAACCAAGTATCACCCATTTGGATTCTCAAAATCTGAAAATGTCTCGCTGAAATTTCATTTTTCTCTTTTTAAACCTCCGCTTATATGAAATCAAAAAACACTTTAAAACCCCAATTTCTTTTTAAATCTTCATTTTTATGAAATTTGGGACCTTTCATCTTTGTACAGTGCGTGACCCATCCGTTTAATGCCAATTTCGCAGCTCGTCCTTTTCCTGCTAGCGTGAGACGTAGATGCTGGAGTTTGGTGTACGTTTGCTCCCTTGCTCCCTTTTTGATTGTTTTAAATTTTTGTATATGATCTAGTCATGTAAGTATGTAAGTGAAGCTATTTAATAATTTATAATTTGCGCAAGCGTTAATTGTCGCGAAAGATACCGAACGTCTTTCAAAACAGTGTAAACTTATAGTTTTTCATGTATCCCAGGAAGTTTTTTAGCGATTTATGGTTTTTTTATAATTGGACATTTCTCTCTCTCTCTTTTTTTATTCCATGGAGATCTTTGGACTTATCAGATTTTGATTTAACTTGATGATAAATTTAAAATTTAATCTGATTTTCGTATTTGTTTCTTCTTTTTTTTTTTTTTTTTTTTGTAAAATCTGTTATTTTTAGTTTTGATGGATGAAGACTGGCGTGGTTCACAGGCTGCTTCACGCTGTCCTTTTTTAAATCCAAATGCTGATTTAGATACCATTATTTCACATAATGTATTATTTTGTGATCGATGTCGTGACGAACAAATGTTAGAGAAAACGAAAGGCGAAGAGATTCTGTTTGTTAACAATCCACCATATTGGGCGTTGCCACCAAAACATGGAAGATCTCGTGATAATGAAGGTTTCTTAATGTTATTGCTAATATTGTGAAGTTTGCTAATTATTATAAGCTATTTTCGTTATGATCAAAATATATTAGACAAAGTTTAGCTAAAAAGTAGTAAGTTTTGCTTCCACTTAAAATTTTTTCTTATAATATTGAGGTGACGCAACCTCCAACCTTCCTTTTTGATAGATTAGTGCTTTGTAAACTTCAAATTGTTGCATTAACAAACATTAAATTCCAACTTTTATGCATATTAACAATATATTGAAATACAAAATAAAACTGAATTCATTCAAAACCTAATTCACTTTTTACTAAAATACTTTTTTAAAAGAGACTTATTACCACAAATTGTTCAAAGTCTTTTTTTTTTTGTTCACTTTTTGACAGTGGAAAACAAACGAGCAAAGGTAATCAATTTCAAAAAACTCATGAATTAGATGATAATGAATCAATCTCATCAAAAGACTTCTCTCAAAGAAAGCAAGGAATTACCAGCGCTTGTGGTTCACGCATGCAGGGTGAAAAATTAGAAAGCACTGGGAATTTGAGAAAGTGGAGAAAAGAAGATGAGGTACAAGATACTCTGAGAGCAAGCCATAAAGCTGCTAGGTCAGCAAAACAAGAATCAGGAAAACGGGAAGCAAGAGTACCAACTAACATTGCACTTCATAAATTGGCCAAGCAAGGTTATTCGAAGTAAGTGAAAGGAAAAAAAAACATTTAATTGTTTGATTTCTTTTTTCGTTTTCAAAGAAAAATTCGAAGTTTTCTGTTTTAGGTAATTTTAGGTAGGCAAATACTTTTCTTCTTGAACACCATCTAAAATATTGTCACGTACTATTTCGCTTTCCTTTAAACAGTGGGAATTTTGTTTATAAAGGAATTTGGAAACCTTAAAACCATTAAGTCTTGATATTTTTTTGTGTTAGTTTCTGTTTTCTATCTTTCAATTTTATAACATTTCTTTAGGAGAGATCTAGTAGATATTTCCTTCTACTGTAATTATCTAATTATAGCGATGAACAAAGATATGGAATTTGTTGATATAGTTTGGCTCGCTTTCAGAGAGGAAGCGCTGCAAAAATATGTTGAAAAGCAACGCGAAAAAGCCCATCCCAAATCAGAGGACGACAGAGTTCAAGTACGGTCTACAGTATCTCTATTTGGATTTCAAAAAAAAATGAACTACATTTTTTTGAAATTGAAATTAAGATTAAAATTTAGCACTAAAATGGTATTCAGTATTCTTTTAGAAAGGTCAAATTTAGACTTTCAGATATCTTCCTAGCCAAATTAATTGTCGAAGGAAGATTCTATTTTCGTTTTTTTTTCTGAAATATATTTTCTTAACATACTTAAGCTAATCTTTTTCAGATTGATCGAGAAGATATGCCTTGGGCACCACCATTTCCAAAAATGCTGCGGAAATATCGTTCGATTATTCAAAAGCCGATTGATCATCAGCGTTATGTAGCTATTGTAGCGAACTTTCTAAATGCTAATCATTCGCAGCCACGCTTTCAGCAGAATCGACAGGAAGTGCGAGTAGGTATTCAGCTTTAATTTGCTTATGCTCAATTATTCATTTATTTTCGGTTATTATTCCATTATTTATTCGGTTTTGCCGAATGCATTCTATAATACTGAAAGTGAGCAATATGAATATTTTTTTGTGATGAAATAATTTATTAATCTGTTATTGATAATAAAATTAATGTTTAACGTAGAAAGGTTTGAATATCAGAATATGAAGCTTACAATATGGTCAGACATGAACTACGAAAGTGGAATAGGAGTGTTGGCTAGGTTTATTTCATATATTAAAATGATTATAAGGCCAGCTTACATTTCTTATTTCATATTTTAAAATTTTGACATGCCTGTAGGTTATGGATGAAAAATTAAAGGATGAGCGTATGCAATATCAAAAATTAGTCTTACAAAGTCTTCGCTCTAGAAAAAAATCAGTATACATTTGTAACAATCAACGGGCTATCTCTTATATTTTGGTATGATTTTTTTTTTTTGCTGTCCAACTATATTTGATATAATACGTGTAATTGTAGAATATTACATAAAAGCAGAAGCAATTTTAGATTTCGAATCAATAAAATTTTGAAATAAATTATTCTTTATTAGGCGATTATTTTTAAACAATTGTGCTATTTCGAAGTGATTCAAATTGTCTGCGCTTTTTAAAATTTTTAGAAATATGTTATTTAATTCAACAGTTTCTTTATTTCAATATATATTGATATATTTGCGTATATTTAGGATCGGTTAAGGTTTCATGCATCATCATTGCATAGTCAATATGGTCCACCAATCTATGATGAAGAGATGAAAGATTTAGTAGTTGATGCACTAACAGTTTTAACGAAAAAGGCAGTACTTTATCGGGGCAAAGTGCCAAAAATTATTTTACCAAACGAAAGACGTCGTTTCGTATTTAATCGTTTAGTGGAAGATATATCGGCGCAATATCCACCAACCGAAAAAACAAAAGTTTGCAGTTCTTAAGTGTTTTATTTTTGACGATTTTTTACTGGCAAATGTAAAAATGTAATCAACTCTTAATTTCTATGTACCTGGTAAGAAAATAGTTCCGTTAACTGATGATATTATTGAATCTTTGTTTTTCTGTTTAGTATCCGCTTGAGTCCGATGAATTTGCAATGCATTTAGCCGTCAAATATGGCGTACGTGTTGTAATGTGCTCAAGTAGTGCTTTGAAAATATTGTGTAATCCATGGATCGCTGATTCCTCCACATATCTGATACCGGTTGTAGTGAAACGAAGCTTTAGTGAGAGAACGAGTATGTCCTGTCCTTAAAAATTCAAAACAAAAAAAGAAACTACGTCATAATCAACTAGTTTTTATCTTATGTTTAATGAAGCTTGCTAATAAAGGGAAATTAAAATTACTTTTCACAGTCTCTTAAGTCACAAAATTTGTTTCTAGACCGTTTTGAAAACGTATGTCTTGTCAGTAAGCCGTGCATCGAAACGTCTATCAATGGTCCATCATTATGGCGACGATATTTGAAGTTTTCTGTGAAGTTAGCAATTTATGGTGATTTAAAGAAAGGCACAGATGAAAAAATGTCAGCAAAAACAGGTGGACGCCAGCGAGCTAGCCGTTCAAAAATGGAACAAGGAAGTCAAACGAAACAAGGTTTGATTAAATTAATAATTGGTTAAAATTAAAGTCTTATTTTGAAAGCTTGAAAAATGAGTCCTTATGAGATAATCTGATAAATTTAAATTAAAATCCGATTAAAATGAATAATTTAATCGGATTTTAATTTAAATTTATCAGATTATCTCATCATGCAATGTATGATATTTATTATTCTTTCTCTAGAAAATTCTTTCTTTTTTTTTTTTTTTTTTTTTAAGAAGCAGGTGATGAAAATAATTTGGTAATTGCTGATGAAGTTGCTGATAGCGAGGAAACACCTTCAAATTTACCGTCAGATACAGGTAGCAGAAAAGAAGAGAATAACAGTCAAAATGTAAAAACTACTGTTATACCATCATCACCATTTTCTACAGGACCGTAAGTTCTATTTGAATTATTATACTAAAAATGAAAGCCTGATCTAACCAAATTTACCAGAATCTCCAAACTCATTATTGTACTGAGATTCTCGTAAGCTTTGATATTTATCTTGATTTTCAAATTGCATCTTGTTGTATTGTGTTTTAGTGCAATAGTATATTAAAGATCTCATTTCATTAGAGAAACTGCTCAATGTTATTGTCATCTAATTTATTATTCTTCATTACTCTAGTTGTTTCAGAGTTTGTGATGACATTCTTGGTGATATTATGAATGAAATGGACACTACGAGTAATAATATTGCAAGCTCTTACGGAGGTCTGTCCTGAATTTCAGAATAAATATATTTTTTCAAAGCATCGAAATCAAATTTATTGTAAAATTATAAGATACGTTAAATAATTAAATACAAAAATATTTACAGCATAGTATTACTTTTCAATCCATTATTTTCTTTTTTTTTAAATTGAGCATTTGATTCAAACAAATTTGGGAATTAAGTTTCTTAAACTGTTTTTATTATAGAATTGGACCAGGATTCTGATGTTTCGTCATTTAATGGTGCTGATCTCAATAAGCGTTACACTTTATTTTCACTTGGGCATGATGGAATGCAGGATGTTGATCTAATTATACGTGCCAATAACGACGGTATTGATGGAATGGGAAATGAGCTGAGTGTTGTTCACAAAATTGAATATGCCGCAGAATTTGGTGCTGAGGTTTGAAATTTTGAAAATTTTTCAGGAAGAGGAGAAGTACTTACTAACACAGCAAAAAAAGAGCACTACGGACTTCTTGTTAGCTAGGAAGAGATAGTTAATCCTTTGTTTCATATTAATTTCCGACCTTTTCTTTTTATTTTTATTTAAAAATTTTCATTTCAGAGAGTGGATGATGAAGAATGGCTGTATGATTATTTTCGCTGCAAATTAAAATGTGCCTCACAACTTGTTCGCTTAAGGTGTTCCTCTTTTCTATATTGAACTGTTCTTTTCTTTTGCTTTTTTCACAAATTTTTGATTTTAAATTTGGTTTTAAATTTTTGTTCTGATATCTGTGCCTTTAAGTGATTTTGATAATTTTTTTTGACAAAGTAGTCTTTATATTTATTTATTTGTAGAATACATTATTTGGAGCAGCACTTTCTTCAAAAGGAACGTTACAACGAAAATATGTTAACTGCAAATCGACCGGATCTACGAAAACTGTTGGTATTTTTTGCACTTTCGACATTCATAAAAGCAAAATTGAGATAATTGTTAGTTAAGTGCAGTATTCTATGGAGATTTTCCTCAAAAACAATTATTTAAATGAACTGGATTGATTTTTTTCACTGCATTAATTGTACATCGTGTTGCAGTGCTGAAGAACGGACACAATGGTTAAAAAAGATAGTCGTGAAATTAGAATCTCTTCAACCGGGCAACTATCTAATTCGGAAAGAATCGAACAGATTGCAAATTTTACTTCCAACAGATGACGTGTAATTTTTTTTTTTTTTTGAATGTGGATTTTGGTATGGCGGTTTTAAGTTGTATACATGGGATATATTCAGGAAGCGCTAAGGATTTGTTTTGGATATCTTTTTTTCTTGGATGAATGTCAAAAGTTATGGTAATATTCATAGTTTTTTTTCATTTAAATTTAAATTCTGTTCGTCTCTTTTTAGCAATAATACATATCTGACAGAAAAACAGTTGAAGGAGCTGCATTTTGACGAACGTTTACCGCCAGTTGAAGAAGTTTTCCGTGGAATTGATGAGCATTTAGTGCTTGTGTATCACATTGTGCAAAAACGAATACCAGCCTCATTTGGACCCAAAAAAGATGGTGTCATACTGAGAAATCCACGAAATGAACAAACTAGTAGTGCGTTCGTTGTATCTGTTTAATTTTTTGATAACTTCTCTTCAAAAAGTTCAGCTTAAATTCGATTTCATTTTTCATATCAAATTTCAGATGCAATATTATATGACAGTAATCAAAAGATTTATCGCCAACAGTCTAAGGATGTTGATGATGTGTTTGATGGCTCGTTGCAGAACGAATCAAGTGGCACACAAGAAAATGTATCGTCATTAATTCATCAGTCTAGAAGACAAAGACAAAGAAAACGTAATTATTCGAAAAGGAGCTGCAGAGGAGATTCGAGAACTCCTAGTAGTAGCAAATGTCGATTCATCGATTTTGATGCACCTCAGGGATCACAAGCGCTTTAGATAGTCATAGTAATTGATGCAGTTGCCGATAATTTGCTTGTATTGATGTTCATATCCTTATTTCGGTTCAAAGATTGCATCCTTGGCCTCCATTTTTAATTTAGACATTTAGGCTCAAACTTTTTAATGAATGATATTTTTTGTAAAAATTTTAACAATGTTTAGCTTGTTTCCTCTTTGTTGCCTTTACTAATTAACTTTAAATGTGACTCCACTTTGTAAATGCATCACGAGAACATGAGCGTTGTAATTGGGGTTTTAACAACCAGTTTTAAAACAATAAAATTTATTTTTATCTAGAGCAAAAGGAAAAAAAAAAAACAGATGCAAAAGGGCATGAATGCAAACAGAAAACGCTAGATATAATTTCCCGAAATTAAATTCTTTGTGACAAACTCTTTTTAACCATAGTCAAAAATAAAGAAATGTGTAGAACATTATTTCCTATGTGCAGTCTGAGTCCAAATTGAATGAACTATGAAAATGTTAACAATTTGGTCTACCATACTTGGATCAGCCAACTATCTCCCAGGAGAGGTAAATCTGTTTAATCGCCATAGAGCACAATAAAAAAAGTCGAAGGACATCACTTTCATAACGAAAACAGAATAATCACGGATAAGATCATAAAAGTCCCTGTCTTTTAAGATCTTCGAACGTCCGCTTATTGACGACATTTCCTGCAGAATCCTCAAACTCTTCATCATGTTCAGGATTCCATTTTAATGATTCTTTTTGGCGTCGTATTTTGCCCCATAGTTCGACAGCATCAGAAATTTTCGTGATATTGGCAAAATGTGCCGTATTCGGGATCCCAAGACAACGCATTCCATGTGAATGACGCCATTCCTTAAATTTGAAAAAATTGCAAATGCGTAAAACTTTCGAAGTGTGCAAATTTCCAAACGTAAACAACAACAACAAAAAAAAAAAAAAACTTCAATAAGAGCTATCTAATCTGCTTGTAATGGATCATCTTTGCAATATTCAGTTATTTGCCATTTATTAAAGTAGGATAAGATTATATCTAAATATCTTAAAAAACTAACAAAACAATACAAAGATAAAAGGAAATCAAAAGGTACTAATCATTTCATCGGCTATATTCATGGAATAAAATTAAAAATCATTGAAGAGCTCAATACTCAAATTTCAAGACTTAGCAAAAAAAAAAATGTGTATAAAGCTACTTACATTAAAATGTCGTTGAAATGCTTTCGGTCCTTTGTAAACTTGATTACCGCATATTTCACATGGGAAGGATATATTGAGACCATGCAATTTGTATAGCCAATATGGAATCGGTTTACCATCCCATCCCAAGGGTAAATTTTTTGGATTATATGGAATGCTATCATCTTCATCATCATCCGATATTTCGTTTATGTCTTCCTCCTCTTCCATGTTTTCACCGATACCTCGTGCTTGTTTTCTTTCAACATTTTCTTTGGTAGCTTCTCTTTCATCGCTCAATAGGGATGATAATCTGAAAACTATCTTATGCTTCATATATTAAATCTGAAAATAATAAAGTATTAACATGCGAACTAAGTATATGCTACCGAAATACTATCATGAATGGACCCGGCTAATTTTAAGTTTATATCAATCTAGTTTCATTTTCATCAGAATTAAACATCATTCCTCTCGTAATCGTATCGAGAGATAGTTAAGGAGTTATCTCACTGAATTATGCCTATTTTTACCTGTTACGACGTGAGTAATCTCCGTCCTATTTATCAGAATTATTATTATCAGCAGAAATCATAAAATAGACTATGTTCTTATCAGGAACTGAATGTTTCTCAGATAACACATTTCTGGAAATAATATGTTTTTCATCTTCCAAAAATTAGAAGTTGAAGACTTCTGCCACTTGACAACTTCGTCAGGTCAATAAGAACAAATAAAAATTTACACAGGAATTTAACGAACTTCTAAGTGATTCAATATATATGAGTGAAGGAATAAACTTAAAAGAACAGTTCTACTAAATTTTGCATGTTTCTAATCTGTTAATAAGGTATTTTGCTTAAATTCTTATGTCCTCGAGATATTAAATGGGTAATTAATTAAGCTTTTTGATCATGTATTATATTCAGCAAATGCATTCATTTTCTTTACGCTTCGTTAAATAATGTATTGCGGTGGATAATAATCCACCGAAACCATTTGAATGTGAAAGAAATTACTAATATTTAGTGTGAATCTGCACATGACATTAGAACTAGTAAAACCTTACATAAGACATTATTTGCATAAAATATAAGATTTTACCGCTGAACGTATGCTTCCAGTCGGGCTGTTTGGTACAATTTGAACTGTTCCTTTTGATCCGTATCATGACGCTTTGCTAATGCTGTCTTTTCCATTTCACTCAATTTGTGTCCTTTAGTTGCAAATAGTCGTTCCGCTCTTTCTTTTAGCGTACTAGAAACGGTATCATCTTGTGAGTTTATTATATTAAATTCAATCAACTGATTTTAATTTCCGAATTAATTTGCAAAATATACTTCACCAATTCATATTACGAGATTCGAAATTTACTTTTTTTATTTGCCTCTAAACAAAATCAACGAACCCGCCACATTTTAAACCAAGAGCAACAAGAGCAGATTTTAGACGATCAAGTCCAAGCGCTTCTAAATCAATAGCTGTTTCGAATGATGAAAGATCCAGATAAGCACCAGAATGCGCTAAAGCACTATGCTGATCTCGACTCCACCCTGAGATTGTACCTGAATTATAAATGACCAGCATTCTCTCAACACGACCAACACTTGAGATCACTTGAAACCACGTTTTCTTTAAAATTACTTTTAATTTTTAAGAAAGCAATTAAAAACTCTTTTAACTACAAAAAATTTAAGAGCTAGAAGAATCGGCATACCCTCCTCCCATTTCTTATCAAAATCAGCGTCAGCTTTTTCAAATTCTTCATCCACACTGAGCAGAGGTCGTGTCCTTGCGAGAAAAGCAATCAAATATTCCTTCAAAGCATTAAGATATTCACGGTAACTACCAGTTTTTTTCGCACTCATTGGAATATCCGTAAAACGATCAAAGTTGCTTAGAAATGCTAAATAATCCATTCTCTGAAAAGTAAAATAAAATACAAGCTACAGAAATAAAACTGTAACAAAAGGATACTTATATTAACTTTGAAGTATTAGTAATGAAAGCTCCAAATCATTCCACTTATGCCGAAAATTCCAACATCGTTCCCTGCATATATACCTTAATTATGAAGTTAATTCCAAAAATTTCACATTGATCTTACAGTTTACATAGGGTATCTTTAAAATCTGAACTTAATATATTCCAAAATTTATACATCACAATAGTGAAACAAACAGAAGAAAAGATAAAAGTAAACAATATGAAAACTCTATCCTTATAAGATGAATTTATTTCTATTTCAAATCTTAATTTGATTTGCATGATAAAACCTATAATTCATAGGATAAATTCTTATTATCAGTAACTATTCTGTGATTCAAGTGAATTCGTTCCACAGTGTATAGTATAGTTTTTCTTTGTGATAAAGTTTGTAAAATGCTCACGATAAGACAGTTCCTAATGAAATTCCTAATGAAATTTGACTTAAACATGAAAAAGAGAAAAAGGAGCGTGGAAAAAGATGACGATCAAATGAAAATAATTTATTAAGTAACCAAAAAATGACAAACCTTCACTCCTTTGATGTTAATATATTTATCGTAAAGAGTATGCAAATCCAGAAATCGTCCGTAGCCTTCTTCATCGGTAAATTCAACCAAATCTTTTTCGGCTAATTCTATGTTTTCTATAGCTTCATTCATCTTTTGAAATTCCAAACTTAACGGTATAGCAATCTATAAGATACTTACAACTTCAATAAGAGAATAGAATGCTATGAATGTTCATTCATGTGTTATTTCAAATATTTTTCAACATGTATCCATAGTTTCTTAATATGGTTAGTTTGAACTAATTTCAATGAAAGATGACTTTAAGAAAATGAAAAAGGATGATTTCAAGATCGTAAATTTAGAAATTTATGGTGGGAAAGTTGACAAACTTCATCTGGATTCCTCCTGTGCGCATCTTTCAGTGATTTCAGACGTGAATAAAACTCTGCGAACTCATTCGGACCAGCAATAGCCCGTAATTCCGATTTACGTGACTTATCATCATCTTCATATATAAGGCGCAACTTTTTCGTGACTTCATGATGTCGCTAGCAAAGAAATAAAAACATATAGATGGTAAAAATAAGTGAATAAGAAAGTAAATGAACCCAAGCTTGACTTCAAATAAAAAGCTTAGGTCTATGAATCCAATCATACAACTTTAATTAGATAGAAGAAAATATGATTTCCTTAACAATCTCTCAGAAAACTTGTAAAACGAATGTAGCGTAAATTAAACGACATCCCAAAAATCCAAAATTTTAAGACATGCACACAGTTTCTAATTACCAATTTTAATTCTAAGAAATACTAAAAGTTATTATACAATTCTAAGAAATACTAAAAGTTATTACAAAACTTATATTTTAAAATTTCAAATTTTAATCCAGAAAATTTTCCTAAATATCCGACCAACAAGACGTCGTACCAAAAAATTAGATAAGCTTATAAAGATAACAATGAACTTATTTAAATATATAGATAAGTTTGACCAAGCTTACATCAACAAGACGTCGTACACGATGGTCTCCATTTATTTTCTCTTTATGCTGCAAATAAAATTTTACCAAGTTTTAAAAGAATGCGATGACAAAATATGTTTACTAGAAAAAATTCTTAAGTTTAAAACATTTTGGAAAAGAAAAAAAACAGATAAATTTTGTAAAGCAAAGAATTAAGGCTAATTTAGAAATTATAATCCAAATCATGAGCTATAATAAACCAGTTACGCCACTGTTACACAAAACTATAAAGTCATTTATCTATGTTTAGATTACAAGACAAAGAAACTAACAGATTTACGCTCATGAAGGTACTCTTTTGTCATACTGTCGATCAGACGATCTCGTTCCTCGTGTAAACGTCGCTGGATTTCCAGAATAGTTTCCATAAATATGATCTAAATCTGGAAAATACTATAATTATACGACAGCAAATTAACTTGATTAAATCCACATAGAATTCGAAAACTAATCGAATAGAAATACGACAAAAAATGATATTTAAACTTCAAAAATGAAGATGACAAGAAATAAAATTCAAACTATTAAAGCAACTGAGTAATTATTGATAAATAATTAGCTGTCAAAGATTTCGACATTTTTCTCTTTTCAAGTAATATAAGCTCAAAAAGACATATTATTTACAGTAAAGTTTCTCTTCATTAGGTTTCGAAGATTGGAAGTTAAGATTCCACCCAATGAGAACGAGATATACTGATAGAATCCCGAGCACACCTTAAAAATCAAACTCAGCCAGCCCGCACCGCAAAGTATCATAATTACTGGCTCGGCCGTGCTTTTTGTTTTCTAATCAGAATTAGTATGCGTTGCTTTTCTTATGTTACTAGTTCACAAGGTATAAAAAATTTTCACTGTATTAGTCGTAGTGGTTTTTATATCTATGAATTGATTGACAAATCTTACTAAGATTTGAGATTGTTACAATTGATTTGTCAATTATGCTAGTTTTTAAGGGTTATATACTTCAGTTAAATTAGCTAAGTTAATTTTATAATTTGTTAATTGATTACTGCAGCAAATTTTCCGATCAATTCTTAGATTAGATTAGATTTGATTAAATTAGAATCAATCAAGGTAGAATACGTTATATTATTTAACGTTACATTAATCAGTTGATTGATTCGAAAATTTTCAGTTCAGTAGTTAATTAGTTTAGAGGACTTTAAGTGCATCAGTTTTATTGTTTTGATTGAAAATAAAAGCTTTTCAGCACAGCTGATTTTCTTGTTTTTTTTTTGGGGACTTGTTGAAAATTTTAGATTGATGGAAATTCGTGAAGAAAGTGGAAAAAAATATGAATTTAGTGGCATTATTGCAGCCCATTGTTCTGATGTGAAATGTATTGTTGCAACCGATTTAGGGCAGATTATCTCCAGTAGTCGTGATGAATGCGTTAAAGTTTTCTCAGAAAGGTCATTTCGTTCATTTGTTTATGAAATTCACCAAATGGTTATTTGTAATTTACAAATAACTAAAACTCTCTAGTAAATTACTAAAATATATTATTAGGAATTGTTAATTAATTAATGGTTGATATTAGATAGCAGACATATTTCATTTAGCCAACAAATGAATATATTATAATAGTTAGTTGTATGATTAAATGACATAAAGATATTCTGTCAAGTATATTTCATTAATTGTTTAGGTATACAATAATTAGTAACAAACATACACTTCAATATTGAATATTTTATAATGAATTGTTAGTTATGAGATTTAAATATTCAGTGGTGGAAAATCATATATATTATTTGACGAGTAATCAATTAAATAAATTGTATGTTTTATAGTATGCCAATTGTTACTTTTTTTTATATATGCATCGGAAAATAAGAAATTTCAGGTATCCGAAATATTTGCATGTTGAAATATATGTTTGCCAAATTGTTTGAGTAATTAAATCTGTGATTTTAATAAGGTATAAGTGAAATAACGGTAATCTTGCAAGACTGAAGCCCATTTTCAAAAATTGTCTTCCGCTTTTTTTTGTTTCTGTCCTTTTTGATGGATTCTTGACGAATAAGAAAAAATTTTTTGAAGGACAAAAAAATCATAACACGTTTTAAGTTTGATATGAGGTAATGTTTCCTTCATTTAAGCATCGAAGAATTGCAAGTGATGAAATTAGAAAGTTCAATTTCTTTCAAAGGAAGAGGGTCAGAGTGGTTGAGATTTTAATTAACTTTAATTTAAAGTTATTTTTTCATTTTCGGGTTGCCTGAATTTTTTTCAAGTCAGTGTTTTTAGGAATAACGGTTACGTGGAAGATATATCATTTGCAAATGGTGAGAGGTTAGCTGTTAATGCAGTAACATTTTATCTATGTCCAAAATATGGCTGGCTAATTTTTGCTGGTCGTAAAGATGGTTCAATTGCGGTATATAGATCCGATAACGATAAACCTACCCGTATATTGCATGAGCATAAAATGAACGGTTTGTTTCTTTTTCTCTCTTATACAACGGCTGTCCTTAGTTACTGCTAGTGATAATTTATTTAGATTAATTAAATTTTACTCAAGTGAAAAAGATAGGGAAGAAGTGTGATTTTAAAAATAGCAAATTTTAAAAAATTTTTAGTCTGTACGCTGCATGTTGATGCTGAAAATGGAAAATTAATGAGTGGCTCATGGGACAATAATGCAATAATATGGCCAATTCACGAAATTGTTAGCAGCTCAGATTTTAATGTATGTCTTTTCATTTATTTTAATTATACAGTTGGCCTAATGGCAGTTTCTTATAGTTTTCTATGAAAAATATGCTATAACTATTATGTTATTTTAATTAGTTTCTTTATTTATTGAACTACAGCTTATACAAGTAGTGAAACGGCGAAACTTAATTGCAGCTAGAATTTTTCTAACACATTTCATGTGTTTAATCTCTAATCCTTGCAGGCACTGTGTTTAGTAGGTCACAGATTATCTGTTTGGGCGGTCGCTTCCATACCTGAACGATCGGATTTTTATCTCACTGGTTCAGCGGATTTGACAATTAAGTTTTGGAAAGGTGACAATGAAATAAACACATTTTCTGGTTCGTTGAAATTTAATTTAATTTTCTTTTATATAAGCTTCAACTTGAGTAAAGCTTGTCCGTCTATGATATTCCTCAAAATGACACACATATTAGTCTTTTTGTTCAATTCATATACCGGAGATTTTTTCTTTATATTCGGAATATGTTTTTATAATTTCAGATCTGTTTAGTTTGCAATTGGAACTCAAAAAATATGAAAAAATATCTACTTCATTATGAAATCCTTTTTGTTTTTTTAGGTCATGAAGATGTTGTGCGATCTCTTGCAGTATTATCAAAGCATAGATTCCTTTCGGCTGCTAATGATTTCACAATTCGTTTGTGGGATATTGATTCTGGTGCTTGTCTTCAAAGATATAGTTCCTTAAGTGGGGAATATATATATAGGTATTTTGTGACATTGCATTACTGCTCACATTTTAATAGCAGCAGTCAACACTTCTACATGACTTATAAAATTCGGAAGGAAGTCATCAACTCTCTTATTAGATGTGCAAAAGATATGATTTTTTACAATAATTTGTTCTTCATGTTGACTCGTTAAAAGTTTGCTCTCCATTTCTGAATTGCCGAAAAATATATTTATTTTTTGTTTCAGTTTGGCACATGCTAACATATCAGGGCATAATTTATTAGCTAATTCTGGTGAAGGTGGTTTCCTGGAAATATGGGATGTGAGTGACGATGGTTCACTAACTCATAAACAGTTGATTAGGACACCAGCACAAAGCCTTTGGTCTCTTACTTTCCTAAAAAATAATGATATTGCTGTTGGTGCTGAGTAAGTTTATTTTAGTATTCGTGAAGCAGCTAATGATAGAAATTAAATAAGTCTCTTTTTGGAGTTAACTTGAGATATTCCTACTAAAACTGTGTTGTGCTTGTCACTTCGACAGGCTAAGTGCCTATATTATGCATTTTCAAAAGATCAGTTCATTTCAGTGATGGCAACATTTATATTTTCTCTGCAGTAGCAAATCGAAAAGCAAGTGCTATTGCGATGGAATCATTCCAAGCTGCTGTAGCTAAAAAAATTTCTGAAGTCGAAGCAATCCTAGCTGCTCAGGTTAAGTTTGAGCCACTGCTTCGATATTTTCTCAAGCTAGCATCGAGATAGAATAACTGCATATCTCTTGGCTCCAAAATCTGCTGCATTAGCGCTACGCTTAGGAACGTATTTTGACGGTGGCATTCGGGATTCATTTATTTTTCGGATTCATTTACTTTTCTTCAATTGAACTTTATTGTGACTTTTTAGCAGAATGAAATAGTTAAAATCAAAGTAGCGTTGGATGATGGCGAACCACATATTGAATTACGATATAAAAAAGGATCAGATCCATATGATGCTGCGCAGACATTTTTAATGGTTTTGCCATTTCTTCTTGTTTTATTCTTTCATTTGATTACATGTTTTTTTTTTTATTGCTAGTATAAGCCAATGATTCATAATTTCTAGTACTTTAGGAGAACAATTTACCTGCATCATATTTGAATGAAGTTGCGCAGTATATTATCGAGAATATACCGGAAGCACGTCAAGCAACTAATAGGAAGATAGCTCAATCACAGTCGGCTGAAAAAGTTATCATGGATGGAAAGGCAAATTTTCAAATCTTATTTGTGTGGAAAATAAATTTTAAACTGCAGAAAGTATAAAGTTATCATATCGGAACAGTTAGACGTGGTCGTAAAAAACAAAAGTCACTGATGATAGCTCTGTCGTAGGTTTCTTTCCAAAAACTTTCTCCATTTTTTTCTAGATTAATTCTCAGCTAAAGAAATTGCTTTCTGATCTCTCTTTGATTTCCGGAATTTTTTCAGGAGTGGGATTATGTTTTTGATGTAACAACCGAAGACGGACAAATTTTGAAATTACCATATAACGTAGGCGATGATACGAATTTGACAGCGCAACACTTTATTGAAAAACATAATCTTCCTATAAAGTTTTTGGAGAAAGTTAGTTTTATTTTTTCTAACTTTAATTAGGATATTATTTCATTTAACTTTTCCAAAATTTCAACTAGAGATTAAAAGTAAATGGGAGCGCTAAACATATTAATAGGTGATAACTGAAATGTGTTAAATTTTAGATTTCTACGCTTCTTCGTCTTCAAGTTCCTGGAGCACTTGGCAGCACTAGCAGTGCAGGATTTGGTAATTTCAGTGATCCATTCACAGGTTTTTTTTTTTTTTTGTTGTTGTTAAATTACTCCTTTGAATATCAAGTTTTTGAAGTATGTATGGAAGAGTTATCTGGATTTTAGAAGGGCGTTATGTCCCCGCTGAAACTGAAAATCGTCAAACTTCAAATGGGGTAGGATTCGCAACGGATCCTTTTACTGGTGGAAGTGCATACATTTCAAATTCTAGTTCAATGATGCCAAATGATCGCTTGCCAATCGGTAGGATCGTCCTCTTTTTTCAATAGAATCATATGTAAAGCATGTTACATCCATCACATTAGTGCCAATGTTAGAATGAGCGAAGAGAGTGGTGTAAAGAACAGTTTGTGTTTATGAGTAACATTATTCGTATAGTTTTGTTCATTCTATTTTTTTTAAAATTATTTTCAGATAAAAAACGGCCGCGTAGTGAACTTGTTCCATTATCCAGTTTCTTCCAGTTTGGTATTGAACAAGCCTCAACTAAAGCAATCGTAAAGCTCAGAGAATTAAATGAGATGCAAACTAAATATAAGTTGAGCGAAGAACAAGTACTTTTTTCAATGCATTTTTTTTTTTTTTTTTCGAGTAGCGATTAGAGATTTTATAGTATAGATTTTAACTGCAGAATAAAAGTAATCTTTTCAGTAGTTATTTAAAACTTATTCCTGGATATATTGTTTATTTATGTACAGAATATCAAAGGAAATGATTTGAGATTATGTTTAAAATGTTTGCTGGTAAGGTTATCTATGTGAATTTTATGATTTAGAAACTATTTTAAAGTTTCATCTTCTCTGTTGACAAATTGTTGGCAGGTTAGTTGTTCTCACTTTTAGTTGTGCGCTCTCGAAGATATTTTGAAAACTTCAACATATGATCCACGAGATATTCATGTTTCTGCAATCGATACAGGTTTTGGATGGAATATGGGTTTGTTTCATTGTTATTATTTTCGAAAGAAACATTAGGAACTTATAAGATAGACCCAGAATTTCTGTTGATCTAGTATGTATATGGGTCGTTACTTTTGTCCCATTACACATGCTCCTTAGCATACTTTTTATAATTTATAATTTTAAAATTAAGTTGGCTCAGTATTTTATAGGGAATTATGATGGAAATTTATACCCTATGTTTGATATTTCAATCATTTTTTCTTTTTTTTTTTTTGTTCGATCCTGTTAAATATTGTAAATTTTATTAAATCCATTGAATTTAGCTTTTTTGTTCCAGGAATATTTGCTTACAATATTCACATGAAATTAATTTCAGATACAATTATTCCTGTTATGGATATATTTCGGTTAGCACTTTTGAATCGTACCTTGAATAGAATTTATTGTTCTTTGGATATGGAAGGTGAAAAATCGGCCAGAGGTTTGGAAACTATACAACGGTTGACTAATTTTTTAGTAGGTTTTCAAAATAATCGAAAATGAAAATTTTTATCATAGAGGCGATTATATATAAATTGATTGTATTTGCAATTATTAACATGATATATGCTTAGTCGCAGTTGTGCAGGTTAAGATTGCACGTTAAATTGTAATAAATACTTTCAACGTTTTTGAAACCAGTTTTCTCTTTCTCGGAACAGATTTTGAATTTTTTTTTTTTTATTATTATTATTATAAAAATTAAATGTTTTTCTATTTATAACAATCATTTTTTTTTTCTTATCAGTTTAAAATTACAGGTAAGTGCCAGTTCCGATCCAATTCGTATTTTGGCATGTCGAGCTATGGCCAATTCTGCTATGCATCAGTGGGGTCGTACAATGCTCATCCATGATGTTAATACAACACTTAAGTATGTTGCTGCACAGTTGAGTAGTGCGAAGCATGCTTTGCAAGTACGTTTCTCGAAATTTGTTTTATTCAGGTCGACAACAGCTGTTATATCATTGCTATATCTTAAAACAAAAATTGATATTAGTGCCAGCTATTGATAGCATTTTTTGATTTTATTAATATTAAATGGAAGTTTTCTAGCTTGCCGCAGCGACAGCATTAGCAAATTGGGCGTTAATTTTGTTACGTCATACAGAATCTGGAAAAATAGCTGAGCTTGGTCCACGCGAAGATGCATTGCGAGCTATTATTCAGGCATTATATGAAATATTTGCGATATTTTGAATTCAAACTTACAATTTCGGGATTTTCGTTACAGTCTTTCTTGAAAACAAGAATAATGAGAAACGTTTTTGTTGAAAAATGAAAAAGAAAAAACGTGAAATATTATCCTAGGAATTTTTTTTTCCTTTTTCTTTTGCTATTTCTGCACTGTTTTTCTTTATTCTCACTGCAGGAAATGCATTTCTTGTTGAATAAAGCTGAGGAAAAATTTAGGCTATTGGTAATGTCGTTAGTTTTGGTGATTTCAATCAAATAGCATTAATACGACTTCTTCAAGCAATTGTAACATTGATGTGGGGCGATGTTGCTATTATTCAGGTCAGCAAAAGTTTTCATTTTTTCTATGTTTAAATGCATTTCATACCTTCGGAATTTCATTTTTGCAAGCAGTTTCAGTTGGCCAAAGGACGGGATATCATTGGGATAGTAAACCGAATTAAAGATGCTGTTGTTGATGAATCCGGAAAGGCTGTTGCAAGAGATATCATAGAGATGGCTTATTCATTGTGAAGCTTTGCTTTTGGTATTTGCACTCTGACAATGAACTATGCTTGTATGTCGCACAGTAATTTGCAGAGCAATGATAATTATCAATAAGACAATTGAACCAGTAATTCTTTATGTCCTATTGTGAAGGAAAGACTTGTTATGCTTGCAGTTTAACATGATTAGCTCTAAAAGAATTTAGGTGACAGGATTAAAGAATGATATAGCGAAATGAAATTGTTAGCGAAATGCTCTGTTTTAAAATAAAAATTATTTTAGCAAAAGTTATATTTTTTAATCATTAATTCTGCCGATACTTTTGAATCTCGCTTTTTCGGCAGCATATGAAGAAATGCAGGGATTTTGCGGTTAAATTGTCTGTACCATTAACGCTTCATATATTTATGTGTGTGTGTTTGTGTGTGCTTTGTTACCACGGATCATTGTCTGCAAATATCTCTCATACCGAAATTTTGTTTTCCTATGAATCGAAATAAATTATTTTTCCACTAATTTATAAAAGATTTCCAAAAATAACATTTGGCATGTTTCAGCTTTTCTTTCCCTCAAAGAGATCACTTTGTCTCAAAAAATCAAAGTAAAGAATGAAACGGCACCATAATTAATCTTATTTAAAACTACCTATCGATATGTGCCTTTTTTGTCTTGTCATAAACAATTTTGCTAAGTACAATTCTGTGTAAATTAAAAACGAAATAATTGCTGCTCAAAGTAAGAAAAAAATGAGAACTGTTACAGTTATAGTACAAAGTGCCGCATTATAGTAATATGATATTAGTAGCTATGAAAATTTATTCTCGGAAGTTTTCATTTTCATCAATTAATTAAACTTTTAACAAACAATTTTATAAGTAATAGCATGGAACGAATCATCAAAAATAAAAGAGCCACATTTATAAGCAATTTGATGAAATCTTTATGATTATATCAAGTTCAATTTTTATACAAGAACAGCCTCGAGAGAAAAGAATTTGTATCTCTCCTTGTAAAAAATACACATTAACAGTACACTAATATAAAGAAGGGAACTATCCGCAACTATGTTAAGTCCGAAGTAATTTTAAAAAGCTAAAATTATATATAATATCTTTCTTTCTAAATCTTTCTTAAAAAGCAGAATGAAAGAATTATTTAATATATAAGGAGACTTACACTTTCCATTAATTTTTGTAAACAATCAAGAACAAACAATAGCTAATATAGCTAATGTTTGTTATGATGAATAGGAACAGTTAAAGGTCGTTTTTTTGCAAAAAACAAAAAGTATCTTAAGTTATACCATAAATGACAAATTAGAATTTCGAGAGCAAAATCGAGCTATTCTCATTTTTCAATTCAATTAATTTAAGTTTAAAGTAGAGCAGTATATTATGAAATGTAGGTTTAAAATGTAGCATTGAACTGTAAAATGTATATTTCATTTCAATTAAACACTAAATAATGACGGAGAAGCGAATGTAAAAATTCTGTTTGCATAACAACTGAAATTGTTTACCATTTACCATATAGTGTTGGTAAAATATGCAAATGCTTCAAAATCTTTTTGATCATCGATTAAGAATAGCAAAACAATTTGCATGAAAATGTTTATTGAAATTATTTACCAAAATAAGTGATAGAAAAGATTAAATTAAAACTATTTAAATAAATTAAGCAACTCATCCAGTAATATACTCACATCATTAAAAGTAATTTAAATGGAACAATAAATAAACTTTCTTAGTCAAATTAATGCTATTCAGTCTATTCATCTCTAAAATTGTCTTATAAAATTAATAAAAAAATTTATTTGTTACATTAAAATTTTTATTTTCTTTGTTTTTTGTATTTGCTCTATTCAATGTCACTTCATAAGCATTTTTTTCAGTGATAACATGTTATCATTTAATGATAGTGCGATTTCAATGATAAAATGATTATAGTTTTATGGTAGCGTAGTTTTTGTCAAACACAAAAATGATGTCAACTGATAGCAGTCAAAATATTAGTCAAATATATCTGAGTAGTTGAATTTTATTGAATCTCATTTGGAGAAAAAAATATCTGTATTAAATATTGTACTGAAATTACAATTTGAAGCAAATGAAGGAAACTAAATCTTATCATATCATCTTGCTGCATCTTACAAAGTAGATAAAAATATTAATTTGGAATTTAATTCAAAATATAATTTCTTCCGGGAAACCAACATTTTAAAATAATCCAATTATTATCTTTGGAATTCTAATCAATTCAGACAAAAAATCAGAGTTCGTAAATATACTGCTTTGTTACTTATCATTTCATTTTACTATCTAGAAAAAAATTGTATCCAGCAATTTTATATTTGATAATCTTTTCACTTTTTTCTACACAAAAAACGATTTCATAAAGATTTTAGTTTTTTTTTTTTATTATTATTATTATTTTTTGTAAACAAAAGAAGTGATTTTTTAAGAAAAGTTATAAGCGAAAATAATTTCGGTTAAATAAAAATATTGAAAATGCATGCATTAAATAATATTATAATTTGCATTATTAGTACGAAGGCAATTTTAGGAATGGTAAATTTTTGGTTTTTAATGGACATTGAAGCAATTTGAAATATTGGTTCACTTTTATAAGAGTAAAAATAGGTAGATCATAATATAATATAGTATAATATATTATTACTGATATGGTTACAATAATCATTATTTGCTATATATTTTTCTGAAAAAATCTGTATGTTTGTTTTTTAAACTGCTAAAAGTGTTTTTTATTGAAATTTTCCACGGGTTTTGCATAAAATTTTATTTAAATTTAAAATAGTTTATATTTGCCTTTAAAAAAGGCAAACAAACAATGAAATATTTCTTATAATAAAATTCAGTCATAATTATTTGCAATGCTGCTAATTAAAAGAAATATATATTATTTGACCAGTGCGCAGTACTGGATTTTTTTAATTATTATCCACTTTTTTGATATTATATCTTTTAATTTCCAATTTGAAAATTCATTTTAATTATCAACAATTCATTTTAAGTGATTTAAATTTATTTTCACTCTATTAAATTCCTCCCAATCACTGCGAATTTGCTTCCGTAGCAAAATTAAATTTATTTGTCAGTGAGCCATTTCAGCTATCATGATTTTTTCTTTTTTCATTCTTAATTTAAATTACTATCAGTTTAACATTACTAACATTTCACAATTGGGTATAGCAACTATGAATTCAGTTCGGTTACTATAAATTCATTCCCATTACCGTTAAACTTATTTGCTATAATCATTTCCTTCTGACTGACATTAGTTTGTTTTGATTTCAGTCAAATTTTATTGCATGTAAGAATTAAAAAGCAAAGTGAAGGGCAAATATCAAATAAAGTTTTAGATAGTTAAAAAATACATGAAATTTTATCATTTAGCCTTTTTTTTGCTGGTTACAGTAGAGGTTGAAACGATGGAAGTTGAAAAAGAATGATCCCACTTTTTGTTTATCTTATGACAATATTTATATAGTCCATTTCTCATTGCACAGAGAGGTTCATGAGTATAATTTGCAGTAATCCTGAAAATAATTTCTATTTCTTCTAGTTTCATTCATTTTACTTATATTGCGACTACATCTAATATAAGAAATTGCAAAAAAAGGAATAAAATTTAGCAGAAAATTCTTATACTAATAATTTTAATGCAATCAATGAAAAATTGATTTAACCACTTACCTGTTCGTTTTAGCATTATCACAAATTTCACTAAGTTTTTTCAAATTTTCGACCTCAGGACCAAGATGATCACGAATATAGTTTCCGATACTAAGGCATCGATTTGCCATATCTTTGGATGTTGACCAAATGATAGCACCTTGGATACCCATATCAAATGATCTATGCAGTGAATTGAATAAATCTTGCTGCAAATTTGATACATTCATTTTTTTTTTAGCAATAAAGTTTTTCCCTTTTTTAATTTTTTGAAATTTTTAAAAAGAGAAAAGAATTATGATTTTAACATTTTGAATGAGTAAATTAGAATGCAAAAATTATAATGCAACCAAAACAAATTTTTTAAATTTGAATTGATTAATTAAAAGAAATAAATTCACAGTATAATCAATTTACTTCGGTATAAAATGGATCAGTAAGATTTAATGGAAAATATTCAAATCCAATGAATGTAAATATTGGTACGCTTGGTTTCAGTTTTTCCGCGCAACGTTTAGCCTCTTGAAGGACTGAAGTGACATATAAGCAACCACCAGCACCACTATTCCTTCTTGGTAGATAAATTGATGGATAAAGAGCGGTAGCTTCCATATACAATGGTTTTAGTCTGTATAATTTCTTTGTAAAAAATTTTTCACTTAATTATTATTTTTAAACATTCCTTTTTTTATTTTTTCTCAAAAAGATAAAAACTTTAGAAGGAATAAAAGAAAAAACAGATAGTTCAGAATGTAATAAACATTGCAATTTTATTAAAGAATATATGAATTATTTCATCGCCAGAAGTTATTTAAAAAGGAGATAAAAGCGAAAAAAAAAAAGAATTGTAAGTAGGAGTTAATGATAATTTTTTGTATTATTTTACATTTTCCGATAAATTTTCGCAAAAAATTTTTATTAGCTAATCAAAAAAAAAAAAAAAAAAAAAACGAAAATTTAATTTTGCTAACCGATCATTAAATTCTTCATATACTTCTCCGCATGCTACAGTACCATTTATTCCTGCGCTGTAATTACAAAATGGCATTCCATAAAAACCCCAAAGCGCTTTAGGTCGAATTCTTTTCACTTCACGAATAGTTGCTGTTAAAAATTTCCTGAAATACAGTTTATTTAAATGATTATTATTAATAAATAAACTTTTAATTTTAATTTTTTGTTTCTTTAAATATAAAAATTTTTTTTTCTCTTTCTCGTTTTTGCTTTTCTTTAATTTAAAACTTGATAAAATTATTATTATTTACATTGCTGCTTCATTGAATTCTTTTATAGCAATTGATGTAGCATTTTCCTGAGTAATATTTTCATATCTTTCCTTAACATAATCTATCGATGCATTTCGATAAATTCGTTTTGTACTCCAATTATGCTCATATAATGGTCGCCATTTCTCGTAATCAATTATAGCCAAACCGTCAAAATTTTCATTTGGTATTGCATTTATTGTGTCATTTTCAACTTTTAACAAATGTTCTGTGAGATTAGCACGCTATAAAATAAAAAATTTGAAAAAAAAAATTTTAAAAAAAATAAAAAAACAAAAATAAAATTGTGATATTTGAATTGAAATGAGAAGGTATTTTATACTTTCTCTTCGACAAAGACGATTATTTAAATCACAACAATGAAATAAAATATGTATATATTCTAAAGGAATTAGTTTTAGTGCATTATTAAAATTAATTTATAATTAATAAAGAAATAGTCTCAGTTAGTAAATTGAGTAAATATTATATTTTTTTTATTTTTTCACTTCATAAATTTCATTTTCTTTTCGTTCTTTTAGTTAATTACTGTAAGAATGTTTCGATTTCATTAAATGTTCTCAATTTTATGAAAATATTAGTACTAAAATAATTGAATTATTTTTCTGTAAAATTTTCTGGTTTTTTATTTTATTTACTACTGATTTGTTTTTATAAATGGTGTAATCTGATCTCTTTATTTTCAATGAAAAATTGAAAGTTAAAATAGTAGATTATATCAAACAATTATGTGTATCATATCGTTTTAGTTGTTTTAAAATAAATTTCAGGATGAGTGCAAAAAAAAAACAGATTATCATATCATTCCACTGATATCATTTCAATTGATAACCCTTTCAATTTTTTTTTCTTAATTTTTGCTGTCAATGAAAAAAAACAACGGTCGTTATTCACCTGAGGAATGCCACCATTAACTGCCGATGATAGATTAGAATAATTTTTGTAGTACGGATATAAACCGAATTTTTCCTCATACAAAGTAACAACAACATTACCGTAAAATTTATATTCATCATTCACGAGAATACCGTAATGTTCCGGTTTTTGTATTTCTGACCAATTCTTACACTGATGAGTTGGAACATTCCAGCGAACCTAATTAATGCAAAATTCTAATTATTATTTCTAAACATATATGATTAAAAAGATTTAATTAAATGACATTTCAATTCATATATTAGGTATAAAAATTTAATTAAATGACAAACGCCATACTTTTAAGTTAAAAAAACGAAAACAAAATTACAATATTTCATTTGTATTTTATAAAAATTGGCAAACTTTAAATTGAATTCATTTTTGTTTTGTAGAAGAAAAAAAAAAAAACAAACTTCAAATGTTTTCCATTCACGGCCATTAACTGTTGTCAACCAAATGATGGGTAAAATTTGGACAAATAAATGCTTCATTTAATCGATAAGAGCTAAAGTTATTTTGTATTAAATGATAGAATTGATAATTTTGTTTGTTAAATTTCATTAAATGTAAATATACGAAGAACAGATAATATAATCAAGTTAAAATGATTATATCAAATCATTTATATCGTCCTATTCATTTGTGAAATAATGTTTGCATAATAATAAAAACATCATATCGTATATGGAAAAAAATTATCAAAGTGTAATCAATGAATTTGTAATCTTTCAGCTTTTCTAGTTTTTTTAATAAATATTTTATGATCATTAATGATTAAAAGTTCAAATTGCTAATATATGTTTGTGTGGGAAGACTTTGAAATTTGAATTTTCGTTAAAAAATGTTTGTTTCTAAAAAAAATAAATAAATAAAAATAAAAAAAATGTGATGAACATTAAATCAAATTTTAGATTTAATTTTTGGAAATTTTATCAAACATTTAATTCACAAATTAGAATTAATCATACTTGAACGATATTTCATATGAAATATTAATGATTTTTACTGGAAAACTGAAATAATCATTATGATTATATTAAAAGTGAAAAAGTTATGAACAAAAAAATTTAGCGCAAACTAATGAATCTTATCGTAATTTTTACTTCTTTATAAACATATAGTACAATTGATGATTTGAAAATATTTTGGGAATAAATTTAATTGTTTTTAAATTTGTTTAAACAGCTTAAATTTATCTTTTTGTTTCGATCATTCTGGTGAAACTTTCGACAAATAATTTCATACAAATTATTTTGCTACTTTCATCGATAATCTCAGTGGTCATTAAAGAGGATTTTATTGAATTTACATATTTCAACAATGTTAAAGTGAAAACAAAATTAACTTCAGTCATTATACAAAATTTTCAAAAATTTTCACTTTTGTTTTCTGCCATTAAATATAATTGAGAATAGCTAATTTATGGTAAAATTTAATGTAAAATTCGACAATAAGAAATTCATTTTTTATCGCTGTCCGATTTCTGAAAATACTCAATAATTGGAAAAAGAAATTAATTTTTGAAATTGTAGGGAGTAAATTGAATAATTTTGTGATAAAATTAGGTGAATTTTGTTGTTATGCAGTAAGTTTTCATTTCTCACCATTATTTATTGTTATTTCTATTATTATCATTGCTATTATTATTATTTATATTATCATATTTTTATTATTATCTATTATTAAAATCATTATATCATATTTATATTCACTATTATTATCAATTATTATCATTCTTCTTCTCATTATTATTATTATTGAATGTATCAATTTTACACTTCAGTATCAACTTATAAGGTTAAAGTCGAGTCATTTTTGAAAGTTTTGTTTTATTGCTGAATTATTTAAAAATGAAATTTGCTTAATTCGATATACTGAATTTTTTATTCCTACAATTTGAATGTATTTTTTTGAAATATAATTTCGTTATAATCAAACTTATTCCACGAATTACTGTATTTAGCTTTATGATCATAAATATAATATTTCATTAATCAGTAATAAAAAATTGATGGAAAAATGCAATTTTTTATTTAAATGATCTCCTTTTTTGTCTTACTTTAATTTCAAAATGATATTACCATCACAATAAAATCATTGTTCAAAAATATGTGAAAGGTTTGCTTAAATCAGTTATAAATAAACAGCTGCTCTCATTTCAAACCAATTTTTTAAAAAATTTAATAGTTTGATTAGTTGATAGATATGAAACATTTCGAAAACATCGAAATAAATTATCAGTTGCAAAAAATGAAGAAAAATTATGCGTCCGAAACTTTTTTATTTATTTCAATTATTCGACAATTATTTTATGACTTCAAAAAGCGAAAAGAGAACTTTATAATTTTATCATTTATTCATACATCCCAAATGATCTAAATTCAATAATTAATATATTTCTTTCATGCTTCATTTCCATTGGCTAAAGTAATTAAATATCAGAGAATGATAAATAAGTAAATAAGTAATTAAGTACTAATACTGCTCTATTTTTATTTACATCTTATCTTCATTGATAATGAGATGTATCAAACCCTGTTTAAAACCATATCATTCTTATTATTGATATGGCGTCTCTGTCTTTAACAGATATTTTTTTTTTTTAGGAACAATAAAATTTTTGACGAAAGCAGAAGTATTTTTTGTGTTGATAATAAAAAATGATAAAATGATTAAACAAACCGAATACATTATATTTTGATAACAGTATTGACATTGGTGTTCGTCTAATAATAATCAGATATTCAGGATGGTGGATAAAAATTTTACAAATAAAAAAGTTTCATGACGCAAGAAAAAAAGATTTAAACCCGTTTGATATTTGCAATATTTTAATTATTTTATTGTAATTTTAAATAATAAATTAAGTGTGAATTCTTGTATCCCAGCATTTATTTTCATGAATGATAAAAAAATGATAAATGATTTCATAACTGATTACCAATAGTTGTCAAAATTTAGTGAAGATTTCAAATTGAATGAAACATTTCATTCAATTTTAATTGCTATCAATAAGAAATATTATTGTTTTAAATTCGGAGTTTCTTGAATTAAATTTTGAAAGCAAAGATGAAAGAACTGAACTATTAGAAGTATCAAAGAAATTAATCAACAACTACGAGTAATTTATGCTTTTTAATCAAGCTTTTCATGTGATAACTTTTGTGCTTATGAAATTTTATTCAAATTTGAAACAAGAGCTTACATTTGCCTCATGAAGGCAAGTAAACAATGAAAAATTTTCAATCTCAATTATTTGCAATACACTTGCTGAAATAAGCTAGAAAATTAAATAAGCAAATATATATATTCTTTTAATTTCTGTACAATCATATTGAATTTATTTTTATTACTATTTGATTTAACTTTTCTAAATGATAGCTTGTTTGTTTTTTTTTTTTTTTTTTTAATTTTTAATTGCCGACCACTATTAATTCATTTGAATTGTCACCAATTTATTTTGATCGCTTTAGAACTTATTTGAACAGTGTTTTTCATTTTCATTGATTACTATGAGTTTATATCAATTCCTCAAAATTTCATTTTGATTAGTGCGAATTCATTTCAATTATTACAAATTAATTTAAATTTAAAATTGCCGTCAATTCATTTCACTTTGCATGTAGTAAATTCATTTTCATTGCTGCATATTCATTTCAATCATCATTCATATTCATTATTGGTATAATTAATTCATTTTAATTACTGATTACCGCAAGTTGTAAATTTTTCCTTGTTGCTCTCAATTTACTGCAATTATCGATTAAATTCATTTTGCATTTTCATAAGAAAAAATGAGCATTTGAAGTCAGCAAATGAATTTTTGATGAAACAGTTACGACAATATTGGATTATTGAAAATCATATATAATTTATTTTTTAAAATCAACAAAATAAATTTTGAAACATCTAAAATTTCAAATTTTCAAGCAAATATAAGCTAGAGTTCAGTAAATGTTAATAGTTGTGACAATTTTTAAATTGAAAGTAAAATTTTCTCTGATATTACTTAGAAGTACATATTTCAAAATTATTTGATTAATCCTTTTTTTTTTTAAATTGACATTTAGAAAACGCTCGAATATCTTTAGTGACACAGGAAATTAATAAGATTGAAAAAATTAGAAATGATATAAAATGTAAAATTAAAAAGAAAAAAGAAATATTAAATTATGCAGTGATGAATTGAAATTTAAGAAGAAATTTCTAACAGTGTTTAGATTGTTTCATTATTAAAACCAGAAGGTATTAGCAATTTCATTTTCTCATTATTAATAGTAATTTCACACTTCACAGTTGTTATGATTAATTTAAATAAGTGATCTATATATTATACCATTATATTCCGGCGAATTTCATTAACCTGAATCTTTCAATCTTTTAAAAATGAAATAAATTAATAAATAGATATGCGATATTGATTTCATGCTATAATAATTAATCATTATAGCTCTGTTTTTTTTTTTTTTTTTTTGATTTATCCAAATTTAGAGTTGATCTGTTCAATTGCAAACGCTAATTTATTCAATATCCTAATTTAAACATTCGAAACACATTTTTTTAGAAATGGTAAAATTTTATAAGCATGAAAATATCAATCAAATTGTTCCCATTTTACGACATAGCAAAGTAATTTGTTTCGAAAATAAGTTAACTAATTAAGTTACGTAGCTAAAATTTTAAAATCGGTTAATTTTTGCACTTGAAAAGACAAATACTAGTAAAGGATTATGATAAAATTTTACAAATTTTAATTTCGTTTTTTTGCCAATTTTTTTAAACTTACTTATTATTATGCAGGAATGATGAATCTTTCCGCAAGTTGTTATTTTCAACACTTTAATTTTAATTGAATCACTTTCAGTTTTTCAAAGTCGTTTTAGCATCATTTATTAGTCCTGTATAGTACGTAATTAATCAGTCAATCAGTGACATGAATTTTTTTTTTTTTTTCTCAAACGTATTAATTTTATTTGAAAATGTTTAGCAAAGAACATAAATGGGTATAAATGATGATATTACGATTAAAAAATAATAATAATAAAAGAAAATGAAAAGAAAAAAAAAATAAAAGAAAATGAAAAGAAAAGAAATGAATTAAAGAATGATGAAAATGATGAAAAGAAAAAAGAAAAGGAAAAAAAAAATTTTTTTTCGTGATAAATATTTAAGATTTTAATAGAATAGAGTGGAAAGCATATCTTATTGCTTGCTTTTACTCATCGAATTTTTCATTTGAATTCATTTCGTTAATATTAACAAACATATCAACTATGAAAAACTATAATCATCACTTCTTTCATTTGCACTCGTCCTTCTCTCTTTTTCAGATATTTCATTAAAAATTTTAATATTGATATTATTTCACTGACAATGGGTAAGTTATTATATGCGTTTATTGCAAATAAATAGTATAAAATAAGAATGATATAACTAACTTATTCTGATTGACTATTTTATTCTAATTAACTATTCTATTCTAACTCATAATTGGTAATTATTTACTGATAATCGATAAGCTCTTATACTTTTTATTGCTTAGAAATGGTATAAAATGAAACCATAATTATCATCATTATCGCTACCATATAACAGATTAATCAGTTAATGATTGTTTGCATTCACAGTCAGAACCCATTTCAAATTAATACTGACAAAAAGAAAAAAAGAACGAAGGCGTAAAGTGTAGAAAATGATATGATAAGCTAACAATAGGACAAAAAAGATGAAATTATTGCTTTATGAAGTAAATTGTTATCTAATTCTGTTCACTTCCTTATATGATAAATAAAGTTAACAGTAAAACACAAAAGTAGTATTTGCTGTAAAGAAAAAGAAAGGAAAATATTATTTACCGTACGGAAGCAAAACAGAAAAACGTTGTTTACCTTTCAGAAGTAAAGGAGAAAAAAGTGTAAAGAAGAAAAAAAGAAATTTATTTGATTTTTTATTCTTCTGTTTGATGTAAGAAACATATTAAAATGTTTGAAATATATTTCAAAAAATAGCGGAGTAATAGCAATAATATTGATAATATTTGATATTCAAAGTTTTCATAAATAATTGATAGCCTCTTAATTTTAAAACATTAAATTGCAACTGCAAAAAATTTTTTTTATTAAATTTTTTAACTCCTTTAAGAACAACAGATGATCAATTTATTTGTCAGACAAACAATACTAGATTGATTGATGATAATGATCGATACATTTATCTAAATTATATTTCAAATCAATAGACTCACTGATCGCTACAATAAGTTATTTGATTATCAGTCAATTCCAAATACTTCATGTAAAAATAAATCATTTACTGATTATAATATTATTATCGATTAAATTACTATTGATTAAACCTGAATATAATAATTCTTATTATACTTATAAACAAAAAAAGAAAAAAAATAGTTGATTATAAAATTTTATTATCATTTTTAGAATGACATTAAATACATTGGAATATTAATAAATCGAAATAATAAGTTAAATATTGGAATAATTAATATTTTGAGACTAGAATTTGCATTCATGCAATTTTTTTTCTTTTAAATTCTAACACATTTGACTCTTCTCAGAAATGGAATTTCTTAACTAAAAATATTATCATTTTTTTAATAAAAAGTTGTAATAAATTCGATATAGTAGCTGCTGGGAAATTATTTCCTATTCCTTTTCTTCCATTTGTAACAATAAATTTTTACTTACGTTAAAATTTTGTTTTTGAATTTTGACGAACTTAAATTCTTTTTGTTTTTCCTACTTTTTTTCCTTTCTTTTCGTGCGTATCTATTTAATCTTTTTAATACTTTAATGAAATTGGGTTATCCACAAAGAAGGAAAAAAAACAAGAAAATAAATCTTTTACTTTCAAAAAAATATGTATGTAATAAAAAAAAAAATGAAAAAGCCATATTTATAAAATAAAAAACAAAAGTTTTTCGTTATTTTTCATTTTCTGAAGTGCTATTAAAATTATTAAAATATGAATTCACATTTGATATAAAAATTATATCAATTAAAATATTACGAAAAATATAATTGCTATTATCGTTCTATGATGAAGTATTTTTTAATACAAATTAATTACTTAATTTATTCAAGCATTATTTCATAATTAAGTTTTTCACAAATTACTTTTACAGTGTAATTGCTAAAATTATTATTATAATTAAGAATTATTCAGAATGAAATATGCAAAATGAAAACCGAAAACAATTTGCTAACACTCTGTCAATATTCAAATATTCAACGATCTTTACCAGTCATAGCACAATGTTGAACGATGAAAAAAACATATCAATCAATGCTTGATAAACTTGCTAATGATCCCACAATCCAAAAGGTTTAAATTCATGGAAATTTTCATTAAAAAATTTTTTTTCAGCAAAATTAATAAATGTTTTTATTGACACAAACATATATTGTAACAGTATTTTTCGACTTAAAAAATTATAATCTAAAAAAGGAAATTTTCCTTTTACAATTTATTACTCCATTTTTTTTTTTTTTTTGATAATGATTTTTAATGCATTTAGGAAATAGCACTTGGCCAGCGTATTGGTTTTTATAATATTTGTGAAGAAATTGGCTCAGGAAATTTTTCGAAAGTTAATCTTGGCATACATTCCTTAACAAATGGTTGGTTTTTAGATGTTGTAAATGTTTGAAATTTTAAATTATAAATTAATGAACTATTAAAGATGAAAAAGAATAATGATGATGGAAAATAATAATAATAATAATCTAGTGATTGTTATAACAATTATCATAAGAAAACAAATGAAATCACTTTGGTGGCAACAATTAATTACAGAAAAAGTTGCAATGAAAATTATGGATAAATCTGCGATGAATGAAAAGGCGAAAAAATTATTAGCAAATGAGATAAAAACAATGGAACAACTTCATCATCCAAATATCATTCGTCTTTTTGAAGTAAAATTTCAGGAATTGTTTAGAAAAAAAAAGATAAAAAGTACTATTTTTAAAGTATTATATACAAATAAATAATAATCGATCAGTTTTAATTTTTCACTCAATTGATAATTAATTGAAATTCTAATAAATTTTTAAAAGTATTTGTTATTTTTGATCTAAAAAAAATTACATTTTCAAAACTTTACAAAATATTAATTATTCTATTATTTCATTTAATTTTCAATATAACAAAAATATTGCATAACTTTTAATAATTCAAATAAATTTGATTGATATGAAAAACTAATTAAGCGATAGAAAATGGAATAATGATAAATTTATGAAAGAGTTTAAAAATTTAACTTTAATTTCTCAAATGACATTTTAATTTTAGTGTGTGGAAGCAACACCACGAATATATCTCATAATGGAATATGCCGGTCATGGTGAACTTTATTCCTATATTCATCATCGAGGAAAACTACCTGAAAATGATTGTAAGCTAATATTTGCTCAAATTATTTCCGCTATTTCATATATGGTTTGTTTCATATGAATAAATTAAATTTAATTATTAAAAAAAATCCTTTTTCATTCTACAAATTAAAAATTATTAAAATAATTTTAATAAGTGTAATTTGTTAATTCAATGTTTTTCTTTGGTACTAGCAATATTAAAATTTATCAACAAATAAAATTGAAAGAAAAGATTTGCAATTAAATATTAGAATCTTTCTCTCTCCATTCTTTTTTCTCTTTCTTTTTTTTGACAGTAATATTAAAATTTACAATAATAATATTAAGGTAAGTAATTAAGCTAATAGTAGTGGTTAATGAATGAAAAAAAAATTTAATTTGAGAAATTAATGATATATTACAACTTTTATTTGTTAATTTAATTTTTCTTTTTACTTTTAAAATAATCTTAAATATTTAGACTTTTTTTCCTTTTGACAGAAATGAAAAAAATAAAATGAAATGAGAAAATAAAAAAATGACTATTTATAGCATTCCAAAAATATCATTCACCGTGATATAAAAGCAGAAAATGTATTGTTATCGAAGCCCGATTTGATAAAATTAGCCGATTTTGGTTTTGCCTGTCAGGTGAATCCAGGTGATATGCTAACAACATTTTGTGGCTCACCGGCATATGCTGCACCTGAGCTTTTCAAAAATAGCAAATATTATGGTTTGTTTATATTTATTGCAAAAAAAAAACATATATGAAAAACCAACAAAAATCAATCAATATTCTATATGTTTTATACATAATTTTGCAAATTAAAATTGAATAAATTTCATTATTGTAATGTATTTTTTCTTTCGTTTTTACCTTTCCTTTTTTAAAAAGTTATATTTCAGCAAAAAATTTATCTATTTTTACCATTGTTTGTGACTGGCTTTCAAAATAATTAATTAATGAATTAAATTTTAATTAAAAGAAGCAGGAAATTTATAATTGTATAAAATTATTAAAATAAAAATTTGGGACATTTTCAAATACTTTAATGCTTCATCCCATCGTTCAATTAAAAACTATTGAAATGGAACGTTGGCCAATTAATCTAATTAATGCATTGAAAATACTGTTTCTTTGATTATTTCGAATACTTTTTCTGAATATAGTTATTGCATATAGAATTTATTGAATTAATTAATTGATTAGTTTGATTAATGTATAATATCTTAATAACATCTTTTAAAACCTATAACGTGTTTAATTTGATTAAGCACACTCTACTTACTATCACAAATTTCTCGAAAGATATTCAAATATAATTACGTAGCTTATTGAAATTTTTCCTGAAATATAAGTGCGATTTGTACTAAGTGACGCTATTTTTTGACGTAACGCAGAGTAATAATATCGCATAAGATACGATAATATTACGTAAAAGTAATAAATGGGACGATTCAAGTTAATAAAATATGTAATATAAAATACTATTACTGAAAAACAAAAAGGAAAACAAATTTACAAATTTCTCTTTTTGTCTTTCTAATATTTATTCGTCCAAATCTAATATCATTTCAATTAATTTCAATTTTTTATTCATACTTTGTTTAAGTTTTATTTTACACTGTACAGTAATACTCAATAATACTTCACCTTTCTTAAAAAAAATTTAATTATTTCACAAAAAAAGGAAAAAACATTGATTTCAACAATTATTTTAAGTAATTTAATTCAAAGAAAAAAATCACAACATATTGTAGGACGAAGTGTTGATATTTGGGCAATTGGTGTATTACTATATTTTATGCTTGTTGGCAATACACCATTTCGTGGTGAAACATTTCATAATTTAAAACTGTGTATATTACGTGGTACCTATGCGTTACCCAATTACTTAAGTGTAGCAGCTCAACGTGTAATTAGCCAAATGCTTGTTATTGATCCAGTGAAACGGACTACCATTGATGATATAAAGGTATTATTATTTTTTTTTTCCTTCCATCACTTTAATTAATTTTCATTTCTTTTGTTTTCATTTCACTTTGAATATTATTTTATTTTGTTAATTTCTTTTTGTCCTTTTCATTTCGTTTTAATTATTCATTTAAGTAATTATATTTATGTTACTATTCATGTTTGTTTCGTTTTTTTTTTTTTTTAGTTTTGGTAATTATTATATTAAAATTATAATATTTTTTAAGTGCAGTAATTTACAAATTACTAATAAATTATTTAGAACAAAATTCAAAAAAAAGAAGGACAAAAACGAAAAGTTTCTGTTTCTATTGATTATTAAAATTGATTAACTCAGTTCAATCATTGAACTAAAGTCAATTCAACTTAAACTAGATTAAAATTTTTTATTTTTTTCTTCCAATTAATATAAATTATTGCTTGCACACATATTTAAAAAAGAATATAATAATAAAAATTTACTATTTCTTTACTAAAAAACTTTTAAATCTATTTTAAAAAAACTAGAAAATTTTATTAAATATATCATTAATGAATAAATAGTATTTTCAGAATTGTAATTTCCTAAAGGAATGTAAATTTACCAAACCATACATACAGTTTAATATGATAATGGATGAAAATGAAGTATTAGAAGCAAAGAATCCATTAATGGTTCAAGTACGAAATAAACTACAATTTTATGGCATTAATGATACAATTATTCATGAGAATTTAACAAAAGGAATTGATAATTCTGTTATCGGAATATATCGTATTGTAGTTCATCAAGTACAACAAGATTTTAATTATAAACAACAACAAAATCAAGTTTGCACTTCATCTTTTTTCTCCTTTCTTTTTTAATTACCATAATAATAACAATAATAACAATAGTGGTAATAATTTGAATTGAACTGTCATTTCAATTATTTTTTCCTATTTGTTTTTTGTTTCTAATTTCATAATCATTAAAATACAATTTATTAGCAAATTTTCATTATACTATTAAAAATTGAACTAAATTTCATCAAGCGATAATTTCTGAGAAAACGAAAATTATTCGTCATTGAAGAATGAAAACTTTGAAATGGAATTAGTCAAATTTAAACGATTATACTCAATGTAAAAAAAGAAAGAAATTAAAGTTAAAGTGTTGAATTTATGAAATGAAACAGTAACAAATCTTCCGATAAATTAATAGATTTGTTGCTTATTTTTTTCTAAGTTTAAAATTGAAGTTGAACAAAATTTTAATGAGCATTTGTTGCGTAATTACAGATTCGATACGATCGTGTGATGATAAGACGAGGGAAATCATTATCAGTACTAAATATGGAAAGTAAAACTTGCTCAATCCTATAAAATTTCCATTTATTAGCAACAATCTATTATCGGTGCTTAAATATATTAATCAATTAACATTATTTTATCATCATTTTCTGCTTTGCTAATTATTTCATTGATTAGAATAATAAATAATAAACGTTTGGGTAAATAAAAAAAAATAATAAACGTTTGCTTTGCTAATTATTTCATTGATTAGAATAATAAATAATAAACGTTTGGGTAAAAAGATATTGGTTTTATCACTGATTTAGCTTGAAACAATAAAGTTTTGAAACTCAATGAAATATCGAATTAATTTCATAACGCTCAAACACAAGGTTGTTCTTAAAAAAAGAGAAACTTGGATTAAAATGAAACTATGAAAAGAAGTCTTCAAAAGTTATGTTCAATCCTTTTATTTATCGGATTTCAATTAGAACAATTCAGATCGGTATTTATGTTTCTGTCATACTTTCTATCGAGGACAGAACTCTGTGTTGAACATGGTCAATTTACTAAATCGTTGGAAGAATTAGCTCAAAAATTAGCTCAAAATATTAACCATTGTTAATCTAGATGTTAGTCATGTTATGAATGAAAATTGTAAAGAACAAAGAATTTGAAGTAAAAAAAAAAAACATTTAACTGTCAGCTATTTATCATTCAACTTTTACAAACGACGATATATAGTCTTATTATATATATATATATATAATGAAAGATTTATTATATGGAAAGACTGGCTAATCAATGTATAGAATCAAACTTCATAATAAATTAGGTTTGTAGAATAACTATAATTACACATACCATTATTAAAGTAAAAAAATAAAAGCCTAACAAAAAGAAGAAAAAAATAATGAACTTCAAATAGTAATATATTAATCTGCCAATATCTTACGCTACTTCATATCCCTTATCAGTACATTATACACATCAAACTTTTTAATCTGGCTCTCTTATATTATTTATAAAACCCAAAGAGTAAAGAATGAGCTGTATGAGTAAACTGATAAGTATGTTAGGGAATAAGAGAAATAACTTAATTAATCACAAAACATTAACTGAATAGCAAGAATGGAATATTAAAACGATAAACTATTTTACAAAGCTATTCCTTAGAAAATTGGCTAATCAATGCACAGTTCCAAAAGCATTACTAAAACATTAATAATTTAAGAAATTAATAAAAAACTAATAATATAAGGAACTTGAGTAATTTAACAGAAATAAGTGATACAGATTTAAAGCACGATTTGCTCCGAGAATATAGCACCAAATCAAAAATATGCCCAAAAAATTACGAAATAGGAATTTAAAATGGCAATTACTAACATCAGTAGAAAAAAAGAGAAAGTTTCAATAGTAAAACATAAATTATACTCCAAAACAAATATTTGTAAAAAAAAAAGAAAATTCAGGCACTTTTACATATGTAACATATTGATTTTGTAAATCGATCATAGCTGTTTATTTTTCAGCTTTCTAATTGCACCAACTTAGGCAATTGCTTTGGTTCATATCCGTAAAAAAATGTTGAAAAAATAACAACCATTGCACCAATAGCAAAAATCCTTCAAAAAAGAAAGACAACAAATTATAACATATTGAAAATAGAACGCTTCAAGAAATTATATTTTTTTTTTTTTTTTTTTGCAGTAACAAAAAAAAAAATCTGGTCAAACACAGAGAAAACTTAGAAAAACAGGTTATTTTGGCTTATTTGAATGAATTTTATACTTTCCAGTGCTATCATCATTATTGAAATCATTTCTGACTAGCTCTGTTAAAAAATAATATTACAAAAAAAAAACAAAAACAAACTAATTTCTAAACTTAGCATTCCTTACACTTCAGTCTATAGTGCTAACATTACAGTAAGAAATTCATAAACTTAGCTTTCCAAACCTTAAAGCACAAAAATAGCAAAAAAAAAAAAAACATACAATGATGGTTGGAAATCATCCAACAACCAGTAGGATATTAAACTGGATAGCACAATCGAAAATGACACAGCAAAACCTTTTAGTATATTATCAGCATATTTCACCACTAAAGCCACGACAAGTCCACCATAAGCCTAAAAATAACAATTCATTGTAATAACTTGAAAGAAAAAATAAAATATTTGCAATACAATTTTTATAATCTTACTGATTCCATTTCAGAAAAAAATTACGGAATGATAGTGCATTTTCCTGATGCATATTTCGTGTTAATATTATAACATACTTATACTACAGAATATCATCACACTACTAATTTTTAATTCGCACAGTAAAATCAAATATTACATACGCAAGTTCAAAGACGAATATTTCTGAGCAATATTTAGAGCTATATATATTGAATAGGGATGATGCTAACTGATACAAATATTCATTACATATTCACTCCACCAATATTATACATCATGTTAATAATTAGTTATACCTTGTATCAAAAAAGTAATCACTGACTATTCTTTTTATTTCAATATTAGAAAGTTTATTACAAAAACTTCCATAAATTTTCAGCATTAACAATATATTAAAATTATAACTGAAAATATCAAAAAACCAAAAAACTTTTTCCAACAAATAAAAACTAAAAGTATAAAATGTTACAACCTGAAGTAAAACAACAATCCAAATTATACTGTTATATCCTTGAAAAAAACCATACTCGTTTATTTGCTTAGAATCATAAAACCAGACCATAGAAAAACCACCAAAAAGGCTGAAGAATGCTGCAAAAAGAAATCGAAAATATGTTACATTTTACAAATAACAGGATAAATTTCGATCATAAACCATAAAAAAAAAACAATTTTTCTCTATAAAAGTTCAAAATTTTTTAAAATAACTTTTTCTAAAGATGAACCGTTTTATTTTTTTTATTTTTTTTTTTTTTTTTGGAACTATGAAAAGTGTTGGCATATAATACTTTGCATACTGAAATTAGGTTGATTTTCAGAGGCTAATATCAGTCTATGTTATTGAAAAGTCTTGTCTAAAACCAAACTAAAACTTTAAGCACAGTTTTAAACCAAGCCGTAAAACAAATTAAAAGTATACCAAGTTGCAAATTCCGCATCCAAAGTGAAACCGAAGAACCTTTCAAGACTTTTTCAAAATAAACACCCGCAAAACCACTCGAAAAACAAGCTGCAATGACAGCGAGCAATCCAACCATTCTCTCCGAATCAGTTGATACGGAAAGTTCTGCTGTTAATGATGTTACTTTACCCAAATCCTTGGGTAGCTAAAATTGGTTATTTATATAAATTCAGATTAACAGTAGAAGATTAAAAAAGAAAGTGAAAAGCTTATGCTCAAAATCGAATTCTCTGGTTTGCCTTCCAAGAAGATGTGTGATGTTTTTTTCTTTTTTTTAAAGCAAATATCAATCAGCGATGCCTCAAATTCAGTACTACGACATCAAAATAATAATCCATTTTTTGTTTTGATAAAGTTAGAATAAAATTTGAAATAATGAAAATTTTTCGTTAAAAAACACACTTGCACTAAAGCTATTCCAATCGTTAGCAGCAACAGTGATATCCATTTTTGACTGTCCAGTTTTTTTCCCAGTAATGCAACGGAAAATAATGCTGTTGTGAGGATTTTCAATTGATAAGTTACCTTGAAAATTAATTTGTTGGAAAATTAGTAATTGCTTGATTGTGAATTTAACAAAAAAAATTCTACAGAAATCATCTTATTGCAAATTAAAACAACCCACAGAAAAATCTCTGTCAGATGTTTATTTTAATTTATATTAAAAGTAAAAAAGAGTTAAATCCTTACTTATTTACCTAATAGTTTTAAACCCTTATCTGTTTACCTAATAATAGCTAATTTGAGTACTGATCAAAATAATACCTTACAATATTATGATCCAAATGAATCCACGTATCACTAAAAAAAAAATGCTATGCTACTTTTTTTTCCGCAAAAATTAAAATTCTCACTTTAGTTAGGTTTTAAGTTTGAACAAACTCCGAATGCATCCTTCCTGCTATTATATTACATGATACTCACCACATAAATGAACTGGTAAATAATTATAGGATTAATAAAATTACGTAAAGCCTAGCATTTTATGATATAAAACAAAAAACGGTTAAGCACTGAGATTACAAAATCCGGTAATTTAATTTAATATTTATTAAATTATCAAATTAGTTACCTGGTAAGTAGCTGCATCAAGCTTCGACAAAGACAAAAAAAGTAGATTATTTTGCACAACGTATAAAAATGCTGGAATAGCCGTTTTCAAAGCATCATTCGATTTGATGTAACATTCTGTGTAAATTTCGTTCCAGAATCCAACATAATTCCATGCTAAACGTAATACTCGTCGTTTTCTTTTTATATTAATAAAAAGAAAAAGAGAAGGATTATATATTTAAAAAAACAATGCATCCGCAGTGCTATATATATTTCTCGCTATCTTCAATGTATTATAAAAATTCGAAACAAAAATGATTTTGAAGCGGAGAAAATTTTCATTCTATTTGAAGGCAGCATCTCCAAAACTATAGACGAAAAAATGAAATTTTATTCTGAAATAATTTAATTTTTTAACAAATACAACAACTGATTCCTACATCATTTTCACTCACGTATACTAAAAATAAACATACAGTGCTGATGTGCAATAAAGACGACACACGTAAGCAACTTGATTATTTCAGCGGTAACTACAGCTGTCGATGACAAATATCTGAAATGGAACAGTAATATCACATATTTATGCTTCTAATTATTCATGTCTTAGGAGAATTTTCGAAATCATTTCAACAGAAATTTCTTGAATTTTAAGTGAAATTAAAAATTGTTAGTATCTTCTTAAAGACCTTAAAGGTAGAAACAAATTAAAACTACCTTCTTAAAGGCATAAACAAAATACTACTAATTATTCTCTATGATCAATTTTGCTTAATCAGATTTTATATACATAAGCATATAAGTTAATTAATACTACCATATAAACCATATATCATATAAATAAATAACTTCAAACAAATCAATGTAACTTATACATTAATTAAAACTTAAAACTTCAAAAAAACTTAAGTCATTACCTTGGTCCATCAACTTTTTGGACACGTGAATAGTGTAAAATAAGGACAAGAAGTGTAGTTTGAAAAACTAATACAGCCAATGATAACCATTTCAGATTTCTCCTATCCATTAAATAATATAATTTATCTCGCATGGAATACGCTACGTGTTGTGTGGAAGAAGAAAGAATTGGAAATTTTGACGGTAAAAGTAATAATTCAATTTGTCGCTGATCCACATGATGGACCATGGTGGTTTCTTCACAATTGAGTTACCACCAATGCAACATGTTTGTCTTTCAGAGTGTTTCGTTTGTTGACAACTGGAATTTAAAAGTTATTGACAAGTATTGTTTGCAAGTTTAATCATTAAATTTCCTACCACAGTCTATCTGTTTTTTTTTTTTTTTTTCCTACGTATTGTATACTAATGAGATGTTATTTTCATCTTAAAATGAATTGAATTCTTATAAAGAGCAGATCAGAAAAAAAAATTCTCATATGAAAAATTTTCAACTTATTTTTACTAGATTTGATCAATTATCTCATTTAATTACATTTGATTCTGAGCTGCAGTATTATTGTTGCTTTCATTGTTTGGAACAAAACTACGGAAGCATTAATCAAAATAACTGAACCAGTTTTTGAAGTTTAAAAATATGAAATAAAAAAAAATTAAAAAAAATGAAGTGAAGAATAGCAGCAATTCACACTGAAACATTCGAGTAAAAAATAAAAAAAGAATTTAAAAAACAAAAAAGAGAAATGAAGAAACTAATACTATCATACTCGAAAGTAAATGTATTGAAATTTGCAACATCAAATTTCAGACAAACTTTTAACTTAAAACTATTTTTTGTCTTCTAACTCATTTCAATTTAATTTTTCTCATTTTTTAATACTGTCAATTTATTAAGAAATTCCTGACAATATGTTTTTCTCTAATCGATCTACCAATAATTTTTTGGTTTTTTATATTAGAATTAATCATGAGTTTTTATTATATCTTGTATTTTTACATATAAATTTTATGCAAATATAAATTTAAAAAGTTAAATTTTTATTTTACAGATTAATAATATTCCAATGCAAAAGTTCAATTAGAATATTAGTAATATTCTATCATTAATATTGCAATTGAAATTTTGCATTGGCTTGCTATAATTATTTTAGAATTTAAATTCAGATTCACTTAGTTTTTTAAATTTAATTTAAACAAATCATATCGTTTAATGAAATAGTATTTTTTATTCATTTAAATATTTCTGTAAAACTGCTTTTTTTTTCCTCTTTTTTTACTTTTTTTTTGATGAAAAAGAAGAGAAATCATAATAATTTGTTAAAAGCATTTCAGAATGATGTTCTCACTAATTTCCTAATTTTATGATTCATATTTAAATGAAAGTAAATCAAAACAGGATACTCTGTGAAAAAAGAAAAAAAAAAAGTTGCCCCAAAGAACATATTTACAAAACGAATTTTTTTGTCTTTAGCTCACTTTTCATCTTTTCATTTCTAATTTCAATTTTAGGAATTATGTTATAATAAATTGGTTTAAATTTCTTCAAGTTCTTGCGTAAACAAGTTCTAAAAATTAAAAAGAGCCAACTTTTGGCCAATTTAGATATTTTGTTTTTTTAGTTTTGCTGAAATTTCGAAAAATTTCATGCTATAAACTTGATTAAATTATTGCTGAAATTTTTATTTAGACGAGACAAGTTCTATGAAATTATTTTTAGGTTGATAATACTGTAGAATTTATATCTGAAAGTCAAAAAGACCACTAATAATCGTTAGGTTTTATAGTTATTTTATTTTATTTTTTTTTTTTTTAATTTTATGTTAGATCCTTTGCAAGAACTTTGCAACCGATAATTTCTAATGAATTGAAATAATTTTAATGCAAAAACATATTGCCGCAATTTATGCGAATTTTTCAAGCATCGTTCTAAATTGCTCAAATTAATTAAATTTTAGCTGTAACTTTTACTTCTGTAAAATTTCACATTTAAACTGCAGCATGCTACGAATACATATTCCCGCAATAATATTACTTAGCATAGAATATGCTAGTTTAGCGAATCTATCAACAAATATAACTGCTTGGTTAGCTCTTTCCCGCGGTACACCAACGATTATTCTTCGAGCAAATGAAATGATTTAACAGTTCATTGCCAACAAAATGGGAAAACATATAAAGAAGTAGGAATGAGATTAAAAATTACATAAACTGATAATTTCTTTTTACAAATTTAAAATTTTTTTACAAAATTCCATTAATATTTACTTCTAGTTCTTTTCAATTTTAGGGTGAAACTTGGTATACAGGACATCTTTTGTATAAATGTATGAAGTTTGGTGCTTACACTATACTTGGTAATATTTCTACTTTGTTTATAATCATAGAAATAATTAAATAAATTTTCATCAAGAAAAAATTTTTTCGGAATATTCCTAAAAAAATCAAATAAAAATAGAAAAATTAACATTAAAAAAATGCGTTTTAAATACATTAAATTTATTTGTGGCCAAAGAAAAAGAAAATGTAATATGATGGAGAAAAAAACAGATTAAAAAGATTAGGTAATAACCTTGCTTTCTTTATTTTTCTGCATATAGCATCATTATGACTTTAAATGGCTAATTAAAAGCGCTAAAAATTAAATTTCAAGAAAAATTTCAAATAACAATATTACTTGAATTATTTTCCTGTTTAACAAAGTTAACTTTGTTAAGAAAATTTATTTATTTTTTCTTTTTTTTGAGGTTGTCGTACAAGAAAAGGTCGACCAATGATTATTAGTGAAACATATATTGATGATTTCATCGTTCATCAATGCTTTGAAGAGAATTCCAAAATATATTATCGAGAATCTCTATGTGACATGCCAGGACAACCATTATGTGGTTCATTTGAAGAAGTACTATAAATTATTTTATTAATTTTAGAGTTGCAATAAAATCTGCAACATTTACCAAATTTCGTTTTTTGTTTTAAATAAAACTTTTTTCGTTTGCTTTCTAAAGTGAATTCTTTCAAAATTCAAAATTCTTTTTTTTAGAAGTTTTTTTTTCCCTTTTTCCATTTTTTTTAGATTCGACATTTTACATTGATAAAAAACAAATCAGTAGGGAATTAAAAGAAGAACGAAATAATTTTTTGATTAAATTAAACATTTTTTGTAAATTTTATATTTTAGAATTCATCAAAAATAGCAATAGTTGCTTTATTTGACCGTATCAATCAAACTGGTAATTATCCATCGGTAATTACTTTAACAATTTATGTAATCGTCTGAAAACTTTTTAAGCATTAGAAAAAAATCTTCTAAAAAAAAAAAAAAGTTGGAGTAATAAAATGGAATTTGCAATTTCTTGGAGATCATAATATTCATAATCATAATATATTTATAGGTGGCTAATTTATCGCAAGACTGGAAGATTGTTAATTCATATGGAACAACAATACCATTAAATCGTATTGAAGTTATTAATTCATATCCGCTAAATTTAATATCTACAGCAAAGGTTTATTTTAATTGTATTATAAATGAGCAAAAATTTCCGATTATTTCTTCTGGAATTTCAATACAAAATGAAAATCATAAATCTTTGATATCATTGATATTTCTTTCTTCTACATGATATTCTTATCAATAGCTTATTGGATAAAGAAAATGTAAAATACTGAATAATATTCCATTTTTTATATTACAGATTAGGAGAAAAATTAAACGACAAACAGATATGAGTAATGATAAGATGATAAAAAGGTATGTATGATCTATGATTTTTAACAAGATAATATGATAAATTTAATTAAAGAAAAATAACCGTTGAATTACATTAAAGGATGAAATTAGAAAGGAAATGAGTATTAATTGATATTTGATATTTGAAATAAGTCAAATTTCAATCTCTTAAATATTACAGAATTTTTTGATTAAAATTTAATTTTAAACTGTAAAAATGAAATTGTCATCAGTAATTTGCACAAATTTACATTCCAATATTGTGATAAATTATGGAACTAGTTAATTGACAATATTGAATAGAAAATAGTAAAATGAAAATAATAAATAATTTACGCAATTAAAATTGTAAAGTAATTTATAAAAATGCTAATTTTAATTGTTACTAACATGCATTTCAAGGTACTGGAATAATAAAATTAGAAAAAAAATCAATTCAATGAATAGAGTTGCAATCGATTTGTCAAAAATCCATAAAATTATATAACTTTTGTAACTTCTATCAAGTATGCTTAATAGTGACAAACACTTATCATAAATAACTGTTAAATAACGGAATATAATTAAGTGCTAATTGTATAGTTATCAAATAAATCTAAACGTGTATCCCAATGTTATTTCATTACAAACAATGTTTAGGTGATTAGCAATCACAATTTTATCACTATCATTATAAAATTTTAAATTATTAGTAAACAATAATAAATAATTAAACATACTCTTGTCAAATAATGCTGATAAAAATAATTAGCAATGATAATAGTAAAAACAACACCAATAATAATAATTGTGGCAAAATTATTAGTACTAATTATAGAAAAAAACGAAAGAAATAGTAATGTCAGTGAAAATAATAACAATTGATAAGAGCAATGATAATATAATTTAAAAATATCAAAAATTGCCATTGTGAAGAGGAAAATAAGAAAGAATATGATTAGTGCTTTTTTTCATAATATACTCTAATACTATTCATAGATGAAAATTTCAAAAAAAATTAAGCAATTTAAATCTAAAAATCAGCAATGAAACAAAAAATTTCATCCGAATGTATCGTATGCCACTCGTTAAATTTAATCTCTGTGTTAGTTTAATTTCAACTTTTGCTATTTTTAAAATGGAAGTATCACGAATTAGCAGGTAGTTTATTTTGCGACAAGAAGATTTAAATTTTGCCGAATTCCCTTATTACTTCTTTCCAATCCTTAATTCTGCCATCATTTACAATATTTCTTATCACTCTGTGCTATCATTTCAATAATCCCTTTGTATATTATTCTTAATACCATTATTACTGCCTTTTTTCTTTAACTTAAACTTTGGCAGTTTATGTCATTTCCAATCTTTTTCTCTCCTTTTTTTCTTTCTACTGGAATGAAAAAAAAAATTGAAAAACTGTAAATGAAAGGAAATTGTATTTTATTTAATTTCATCATTTTCTCATATTTTTCAGAAACAGCTTTCATCGTTTATTTCGTATTTATGATAGAATAAATGATATCTTATATGCCTTTTTTATCCACTTTCGATTCGACGCGATATGTATCTCGTTTTTTTTTTCTTTGACTGTTGATATCTGTCTGCAGTTTTGAATGGTATTTCTTATGGAAAAGTTTTGACCGATATTTGATCCTTTTTTTGCAATAAATTTTTTTTTTTATCTTTTTGGCTGGTTTTATAAAGCGTAGAATCAGTAATTTCGATTTAATTTGGAAAGCTGTTCTAATTTTAAGGTTAGAAAAGGTAAGAATTACAGAGAATAAAGAAACAGTTGGAGTTGGTTACTTCACTTTTACACTTTCCTGCAAGTAAAGCTGACCTTAGTCTTAAATATTATCGGTCCTCGAATTTGAACAATATCTTTTGTTTTCTAATTCGAGATTTTAACCCAAATCACAGGGGTCACAAATATTAATGTAATCTTTTTTCCGTTTCAGGTCATAAATCACAAAACTTTTTTCTTCAGTTTGTTTCAGATTGCAAATGTTACCCGGTTCAAACAGTTTGCACCGTATATCTCAGCGTATTCTGCATAATGCAATACGAACAATGTATGATAATCCGTATATAAAAACATTTAAGCCCAAAAAGCCTCCATCACCAAGTTTTCATAAACAGGTATGCTTTAGAATGGAAATGAACTGAAAGGACAAGGATGATCAAGAAACTTTGCTGCACTCTGTAATCACTGTTGTTCTTTCAATTCATCCTGCATTTAGTCCCTGTTTTCTATTTCCGATTTCAAATATTAGCTAGTTTTCTTAAGCTAAAAATGTTGTTTAAACATTGGTGGATAGAAATATGAAAGAAGTACAATTCATACTAATAACAGCTTCCATTCTTTTGTAATATGTAGAAAAGCTTTAATATTGTTTTTATTTCGCACTTTACATAAGATATGACTTAATGAAATAAATTTTGAATTCAAATTACGGAAACAGGAAAATTATTAGCAAACTAGTGCCAATACATTGTTTTTAACGAGTAGTACGATATATTCATTATCAGCGATAGTGCAATATTGTGATAAATATCAGGCGGTATCTTTTGCGAGTTACCAAATTTGATGTTCTGATTTCTTATAGTTGTTTGTTGCTTGGTCTTGGAAGAGTTTTTTTTTTTCCCTTTTTTTTTCTTTGTTTCTGCTTTTTGCTTTATTTTACTTTGAAAATAATCCTCTTGTTATTGCTTTTCACGATTTGTTGTTACAGACAACGGGATTAACTGGCTTGTTTGTTGATGAGTATGCACATCAAAACTTGCTGAAAGAATATGGACGATTAATGAAAGTACTAGAACAAATGCCTTCACATTCCTCATACCGGAAATATACTGAACAGCTTGTGAAGAAGAGGATAGCACTGGTGCAAGAGGTTAGTACGTAAACGTTTAAATGATTCGATCATATGATAAATCACCAAAATACTTGCAAACAACTTCCAGCAGTTCCTGTGATTTGTCATATGATTCTATTCCAGGAACCAGATATTGTCAAGCTGGAAGAAAAAATTGGTATGGGACAGATTGAAGAAGTTATCTTACAGGTATTTTTTATATATTCTTATTTATGAGGTGGAAATAGACTCTATTTTGATTCCAAATAGAATTGTTCATTTATGAAAGCTCAAAATGCCAACTAAATACATTAAAAAGGCTGAAAAACACTAACAATAAAAGAAAATTACTTGCTCAGCCAAATGCCTGTGCAATTAAGATGTATTTAATGAACTATAGAAAATCCTTTTTGTACTAATTTAAAATTATTTGCAAGAAATGATTTTTGTTTGCAGGCAAAATATGAAATATTAGCAGCAAAGGAAATTTTGAAAAGTCAAGCCTGGGAACCTCTGGTGGAGATGGCTCCTGAAGGCCAGTGGAATTGGCCTGTTGTATAATCCTTGAAATTATTATGATTCTGAAGCTTTCTCCTTAATTTGAAATAAAATGGAGTAGTATTTTTAAAAATTGTATAGATAAAGCATTATTATCATTTCGACTTGTATTTTCTGTTCAGTCCTGAAATGTCAGTGTAGAATAACTTATTATATTTTTATTTCTATATTTAACCATCTTTCGGTTTTTCTATTTTTCGGGTTTCTGACAACTGAAGTTATGGAGTGAGATTTCATTTTCAGATTATCAGGTTTAACTTCACTTGGTATTTCGATTAGTTTTTGGTGATTTTACTTATTGGAATTATTTCAGTATTGATTCTTTAGATTTCTTCATAAAAACGGAGAAATTAATGAGTATGCTCCATTCTTAAAATCCAAGCTTGTTTTCAGCAATTTGAAACACTTCTTGAATGGATTTACCGGATCCATATTTACCCGGTGCCTTAAGTCTATTGGAACAACTCGACAAAAAACTTCTGGTTGTCTTGCGTGACGGGCGCACATTAATTGGCTACTTAAGGTATTATGTCCCAATCACATTTCAAGACACAGCATTTGTGTTGCACTTTCCAGATTAGTTCTGGTAAAATTTAACTAGATTTCGTAAGTTTGTTATTGACAGCTTTAAAGAGCAATAAGAATTCAGTTAGTGTACGGATTTTTTACACGGATTTTTTTCCTGCTCCATTCTGTGCTGATAACTTATCAATTCATATAATTAAATTTGAAATAACTATAAGAATGTATGTCACTAATTTATTTCAGAACAATTGATCAATTTGCGAATTTGGTATTGCATGAAACTTTAGAAAGGATCCATGTTGACAATTATTACGGTGATATAGAGCGTGGAGTATTTCTGATTCGTGGAGAAAATGTCGTTTTAGCAGGTGAAATTGACGAAACAAAGGAGCAGTTATCAGGCTTGTTAAAATTTTTTAATGCGATCTATTTATTTGTCGTATTAACAATTCATTGTGAGCAAGTGATTTAAGTGGTTAATTAATTGAGGATGTTACATTTATTTATATGTTTTTAGTTCCTAGAATTTCTCCACTTCAGATGATGAGGTACTTCTTTTCATATTTTCTCCAATGAAGTTTTATTCAACAAAATGTTAATATCACTGGCATTGATGTGTTCAGCACGATAAATTATAAATTTCTTTTATCCAATTGTCCTTTAGGCCTTATTCCACTTTCTGCTAAAGAGATCCTTTCGTTGCAACAAGAAAAAATAGAGGAAAAAGAACGATTCGAAGAAGCTAGAAATAAAATAATGAAAGGACGTGGTCGTCGTGCAAAACCTGCAATTGATGTTTTTAATGATGAGTCGTGATTACTACTTGAATTTATTTGTAATATACGTATTTGTAACTGACTGTCGAATTACCAACTCATTTTTTGATGTCATTGAAATAAAAGCGATCAAACACTCATCAAATCTTGCAACTTAAATTGCTCCGTTCTGTTCAATGCTCAGCAAATCTATCATTATCAACAAATATTATTCTTTTTTCCTTTTTTCCTGAAGCGGATAAATAATCTCAAATTTCATGGAACTTAACGTTTCCTGATGAAACGAGTGTTATATATATATATATTTTTTTTTTTTTCTTTTTTTTTGAGAAATACAAACACATTGTTTCATTTCCGACATATCTGGTATTACATTTGTTTTAGTTTTAAATTTGTTGCTTATGAATGATAGTTTTTGCGAAAAACACTTTTTTAAATTCCCATTTGCTTTAGTTCATTTTCGAACTTAAGTTTCCCTCTTTTTTTTGTGGTATTGATTGTGAACTTATTTGTTTTCAATTGTCTGAAAAAATGAGAGCGTAGCAAACATAATTTAAGATTAGTTCACAATCAATAACATAAGAGAGATCACAGATTTATAAGTTTGACCTGGCACATATCATTTGAAATGGATTCATAATCAAATCTGAAGGAGGTCACAGTGTCATAAAGTACATTTGTTATGAATGCTTCGGTTACAATTTTAGTTATTTTAAATTATTTGTATTTATTCGCTTTAGTTCGTATAAATTACTGTGAAAAGACAGCAAATGCATCATAAAAATTTTTGACTAGTTGTTTTGTTTATTTCTATACTTTCTTAGCTAGTCAACATATTTTATTATTAAAAAAAAATTTTATCTTAAAATATAGAATGCTGAATGAAAATAATTTTTCCTTTCCTAATAAATGACGCAGGTTTTTTCCGTATTTACTAATATATTTCGTGGGCGGGAAGGAAATATCAGCACATATTTCTATGCATATTCGTTTGAAACTTTGTATACATGCTGAGACGTGGAAGTATTTTATTCTATCTGATTGAGATTTACTTTACTTTTATAATATAAGTAGAATGTTAGATAAGTTTACTTGTTTATTTCTTACATTACATCATCTATATAGAAGACAAAGGAATAAAATTTTTTTGTTTTCTAATTTTCAAATTTAGCACTTATTTTGGTGTTACTTTTAAAGTCAGAAAGTTATTCGTTAATATAAACTTAAAGCATAGCATATTATATAAAACAGAAAATAAGTTTTAAGTTTTAATCTAAAAATTTGCAAATTCAAACTTAATTAAGTGCAACTTACGCAAATGCACGGGCCAATTTCAAATGTTATAAAATATTCTGTCATTTTTAGCTTCATCTTTCTTAGCTTTTCGAAATTTTAACTGGAGATTTCAAACTAATGCGGGTATTCAATTATTTCGTTGATGATTTAAAACAAAAAGTATTCAACAAAAGAATGATTTAAAATGCCAACAATTTTTCTTTCCTTTTCTTTTCATACATTTATCATTTCTGATTTTTCTAACAAATTTCTTCCCTTTAATGTCCCATTTTCACTGTTTTTTTTTTATAAATTATTTTTTGTAAAAATTGGAAATTAAGGAGCTAAGGAGTAATTGCTGCGCGGAAGTTTATTTGTTTGTTGGTATAATTATAATTACCATTTTTTGCTCATTTTTTGATTTAAAAATTTTCAGTTGTTTTGAAAAGTTTTTTTACCCAAAATTCATTTTTGATAAGTCAATTTTTGTCCAAATTAAAAAGCATATTATTGTACTAATTTGCATATGAAGGTAAGATCATCGGTGATAATTAATGAAGATAAGATCGTTGGTGATAAATGAACTAAATTAGTAATGAGAAGTCTTGATCAAAGATTACGCTTTTTTAGCTTTTAATAAGCTAAATTAACTAAGTTATAGTTAGCAGTAGTGAAGTACTAATTGATAACAGCAAGGGATTAGTAGTATTTGTTAAAATAATAACAATTGATAAGAGCAATGATAATATAATTTAAAAATATCAAAAATTGCCATTGTGAAGAGGAAAATAAGAAAGAATATGATTAGTGCTTTTTTTCATAATATACTCTAATACTATTCATAGATGAAAATTTCAAAAAAAATTAAGCAATTTAAATCTAAAAATCAGCAATGAAACAAAAAATTTCATCCGAATGTATCGTATGCCACTCGTTAAATTTAATCTCTGTGTTAGTTTAATTTCAACTTTTGCTATTTTTAAAATGGAAGTATCACGAATTAGCAGGTAGTTTATTTTGCGACAAGAAGATTTAAATTTTGCCGAATTCCCTTATTACTTCTTTCCAATCCTTAATTCTGCCATCATTTACAATATTTCTTATCACTCTGTGCTATCATTTCAATAATCCTTCCACATGCTATTAACTTTTTTTCCACAATTAGCATGACATTGTAGCCATTTATAGTGTTTTCTTTTTTTTTTTTTTTTTTTTTTATGACCAAATTTGCAGAAGTTGTTTCAGTTTCCAATAATTCTGTTTTTATTATCATAATAGATTCAGTGATTGTTTTACATTGTCGTTTTGTTTATTAGGATGCAGTCAGATTGGATCAAATGTTCATAACGCGAGGATGAAATGGATATGATCAGTGATAAACTGTCGTATAGAAGTCTTAATTAGTAAATCAATAACTTTTAAAAGATTTCATTGATCACAAACTAAATATGATCAATAATAACATAATAAGCAAACCTAACTAATCATAAGCATATGGATAATATCCTCAGAAATGAAGCCTAACTTGATAAAAATGAATGTTTTACTCATAATGCAAATATGCTTAAGTTATTTCTGAATAACAAAAAAGCAAAAAAAAAAAAAAAAAAAAAACTGATTCGATGCAAAATTACCAACTGATACATTAAATTAAATTGAACAATTAGATTGAAACACTAAATACCTTTACTGATAATTTGTCACTTTTTTGAATTACTTACTAATATAAGTATTCCATTCTACTCCTTCATTGAATTAAACAGAAAAAAAGTACAGAAATAAATTTAAAAGGAAAATTAATTATAAGAAAAAAAGAAAGAACATTGTTTATCTTTCTTTTTTCTTTTCTATTTCTCATATTGTTTATAATTATGTTTGTTTTGCTCCTTTTTAGATAGTAGTTTTATGTTGGAAAAAAGAGGAAATAAAAGAGAATGAATTTTAAAAAATTTGATATTTTAAAATGCTGTAAAATTTAGGTATGAGAAAATTTCAATTTTATAATGCTTAGAAATGGTTAAAATTCGAAGTGTATTTGATATAACAGAAGTTGGTTTTCAATAAATTTTGAACACTATTAATTAAATATGAAGAAAAGGTTGATATACTGTTGTATATTTTACTATATTCGTTGAACTTAGCCAATTTATAGAATTTGAAGTTTATCAAACTTATGGCTTTTTAACTTACATGATTTGATTATTTGTATCTAAAACGTACCATATTCTAGCTAATGTAAACTTCCCAGCGAATCATTATTATTCGCCAGATCCATGCAAATCTGTGGTGGATCATGATATCCAAACATTGTTATGCATAATTTAAATTATTAATTCTTTCTATTTTCTTTTCTTATAAATACTGAATTACAGATTAGCTTCTGTTTTATTATATCCCTAATTATTCTAAATAGCTCATTAGCTCAAGCATTTTCTTATTAATTATTTGAAGTTACTTAATGGTAATTTTCTAAGAATACAATACTTCATTTTGACATACAGAATATATCATTTTTATTTTTCTTATATAACTGTAATGTTATCATAATTCATTGAAATTGTTTTTAATTTGTAATAAATTTGTAATAATAGTACCAAATTACACTTGATGATCATATCACTGTTTCCTTACATATTATGCATCAAAGTTAAAACGATACATTAGAAGTGAATATTTATAAAAATCACTTATGTATTTTCAACATTTGTAAATATTTATAAAATCACTTAGAAATATCATGATTGTATCGAAGAAATACTTACTTTTTTGTCTTGTCCAATTTTACCATTATGATATTTTTTTATATCGTTTACTTGTTCATCCATTAAGCTAAAAAAGAAAAGGAAAATTGAAACTAATATTATTTCAGGCTTTTGTAATTTTTCCAGTTATTTATCATTCAGAATATTGGAAAATGCAAAATCTTGGTGAATTACCCAAAGTGGTGTTTGTTTTAGGACCGCCAGGATGTGGCAAAGGGACGCAATGTATAAAATTAGCAAAGGTTAATTTATATTAGTGAATCATCTAATAGTAAAATAAGTTCAAGCGTGGGGTTTGTATTCGAAATTTAAGTCTAAGTCTAAACATCGAAAAGTCCATTATGCCTGATGGATTTATTGTTTTGAAATGTTTTAGTGCTGCTTTCTTTCCTTCTATGACAAATCTTTTGGATATTAAATAATGGAACGATTAGGGTAATTTATTGCATATAGTTGAATTTTTTGATTAGGGAATAAGAAATTTATTATAGAATCTAGGCTTGAAACATTTGAGTGCTGGTGAATTACTAAGAAACGAAAGAAATCGTGAAGGCTCTCAATATGGGCAAATTATTGAATCACATATCCGGAATGGCACTATTGTTCCGGTTGAAATTACTTGTAAACTTCTCGAGAACGTAAGTTGTATCAGTAACTATTTGCTTCATTAAGAGATACTTCTGACCGTTCTGCTTGACTTAACCTGCTTAACCTTATCGCTAACTTTGAACTTCACAGTAAATCTAAATTTAGTAACTGCTTAGAGCTTTAAAAATGTATTTCGTGGATCTCGATTTGGTTTATGCTGCAAAAAATACCGTGAAAATCGTATGGCAGACCGCATATCAAAGCAACAAATGGAAGTAAGTTGTAGGATTGGAATATCAATCCATGTAATATATAAATTTTGGGATTTTGATGGTAGACTTCAATTTTTCTTTTGAATTAATCATGCGACAATTTTTAGGCAATGAATGATTGCTTATCTGCAAAAGCATTCCTGATTGATGGCTTTCCACGGAATCAGGATAATGTGGAAGGATGGGAACATGCAATGCTTTCAAAAGCAAAAGTTTTATTTGTTTTATATCTGCATTGTCCAGATGATGTACGTGTATTTACATTTTTAGAACTTTCGATTTAAATGTCATTCTTTCATTGAAATCCTGCATCCGGCTTTATATTGTAGTTTATATTTTCCCGAAAAATTCAAATACCAAGTTTTCAGATTTGTGTAAAAAGGTGCCTAAATCGAAATGAAGGGCGTTCGGATGATAACGAAGAATCTTTACGTAAAAGGATTAAAACATACCATACACAAACAATGCCAATCATAGAATATTACAAGGCAAAAAATCTTGTGCGGCAAGTGTCAGCAACGGCACCAGCAGATGAGGTATTTTTTTTTAAACAGTGACTTCGGAACTTGTATATAGCTCAGTTTGTATATTTCAAGGGTAATTTTTTTCTAAAATGTTTTGTAATTCTAGAAAAAGTCCAGAAATTACTTCAAAATTATTTGGCCAATTTCATTTACTCAAAAGTAGTCGCATGATCTTCTAAAGTTTGTTGTGTTAATTATACGAAATGAATTTAAATGAATTTAAAATTGACTTAGTCAGCTAAATTACGTTCAACAATCATTGTCTTTTCTATCTTCCAGGTTTACGAAGAAGTGGAAAAAATTTTTAAAAACTGTGGCATTTAAAAGTGCTTTTGAGATTGTTGCATTACGTTGCAATTGAATTACAGTGGTTTCGTTCATTAGCTATTCATTAGTTCCACGGTACTATTTGATTAAGTTAAGTTCCGTTTTTCACGTAATTTCACTTTTTTCTTTTTTTACTGTCTAGGAGAAAATCATGAATCGATCTTGTTGAAGATTCTGACTTTTCACACATCTGTCGAAATTTGTACGTTTCTAACAGCAGTGAAACAATCATCAAATAACCCCACAGACATCACAAGCTATGTTGATAAAACAGCTTCATGTCATTGCGGAACTTTGTTTTAGAAATTGATATATTTTTCGTCGTGTCGAAGTTTATATTGTTATTTCATTAATTTATATAATATGTAATCTGTGATATTTGCATTATTTACTAATTTTATATATTTATTTCATGTCTGTTGTAGCAATCAATTTTTGTTGGAATCTATAAAGAATGCATAAATCGTAAGTATAAAATTGCTGGCTTTTTGCATTCGATTCCTACCACCTATTACACGTATGACAAAGTGTGCAAGACATGACATCTCATAGCTTATCTTCTCTAAAATGATTTCTAGCTTTCCAAACATCGGAATAGGACTGAAGAAGGCTAGAGAAACGCATGACTGTACACCCAGTTCCCTACTTTGTTTTAATTGACTGATAAATTACAATTCCCTTAACGGTTGGAACTCCATAATATTTGATATCTAGTAGTTTGACTTCTGAAATAAATTCTGTAAAAAGGCAATGTCTACAAAGGATCTTATTACGCAACATATAACAAAATTAACTGTGAACCGTGTGCTTATTTTGCGGGAGATCTTCTACAGTGTCCCCTGAGTGTCGAATGTCATTTGGCTGAATGGCCCAACTTGGCATCTCACTAGAATAACTCCACTCACTGGTCTGATATTTGAGACAGTGCAAGTGTAACATCATATGTTCAGGTGTGATGTCTTTCTTTTTCATGTTGCAATTCATACATATCGGGTCATATTCTTGGCGTGCTTCTGTATCTAGCCCTTCTGGCTCAGGTTGTACCTGAAACTGGTTAACTGGTTAATTTGGTCAGAAATTTAAAAACTTGAGAGCAAAAGAAAACAAGTTTTCTCTATATATGTTAAGCTTGGATAAAAAATTCCGAATGAAATCCATGGACTTTCTAAACTAGATCAAATAAGAACAACATTACAGAATTTGCAAGTTCTTATATCTTATACAGAATTCCAAAAATCAGCGTTTAAATCACCTTTCCTTCAGCAATTCTTTTTACTCTAATCTCGTATTCAGAATTTACTCGTTCATGCCAGTTAGATGCTTTATGCTCTTCCAGAACATCTTTTCGAAGCTGAAAACAGAAGCATTGAATTTGGAGCAATCTAAGTGAAAATCCATTCCTTATAAAACTTAAGTTACTGAGAAGTTTGTAAATGAAAAGGAATAATGGCAAAGCTTCCACCTTTCTTTTCATTTTCAAATCATTTATTATTATTATTACTATTATTTTGGTCGTCTTTTCTCAATACCTGCTCTAATGACTTTCCATAATTTCCATCCTTGCCTTTCTTTTCACCCCAAGCAGTAGTATTGTAAATGTAATCATCCACTATTGGATAACCTAAAGTAATGATGATATGTGAATAAGGAATTAAAAAAAAAAAAATGAATTATAAAAAACGAAACTAGTCAAAATGAAAGATTAACGATGAACAATATATAAAGAGAAAAAGAATGAGCTGCAGAAAGAATTTCACTAGCATTCAATGAGACAGAGGCATAGTACTAGGTCTTATACCATTCCGAAATGACATTTGTTTTGTTAAACGAAAAATTAACTTCAAAGAGCTGACCCAAATATTGTAAGTGAACACGGATTTGATGAGTACGACCAGTTTCTAGCATACAACGAACGATTGATGTTTGACCATCTGTCCATAAACGCCAGAAACGGCTTCGAGCAGATTTTCCATCATCACGAATGCATTGGATACCCATCGAAACAACAAGTGGTCCAATGGGACGATCACAAACAATCTCTTTATCTCTTAAAAGAAAAAAAAAACTAAAACTAAAACTATAATATAAATGGTTCTTTTTTTTTATTACTAGTTTTAAATTTATCTCATGTCTATTACAATACTAGCGAAAAGATCGAAGTTAAGACCTAGTGCAAAGAATATTCTGTCTCAAATAATACGCTTTTCCTTATAATAAGAATGCTTCAACCATTTCACTTGCAGCACATAAGTGATTCTTTCTTCATCTTTTTTATTCCAATTTTGCAATTTTGTGTTTCATTCGTCACAGTTTTCTAATGTGGAAAATTTAACAGCGAAGAAGGAAAGTTTCTTACCCTGGGAAGACACCTTCCACTTTACAGATGTATTCCTTGTGCCATATTTCACCAACACGTAACATCTTTTTTAGCTGAAAATAAATTTTCTTGTTTTATAATACCGAATAAAACAATTCTTGAAGGCAATTAATTTGTCATTTGTCAGTTACAAGTAATATGTTTCAAAATCACTAAAGAATAAGAAAGATTGAGTGTGTAATACAACAATATTTTCCAGTTTCTTCTAAAACAATTTACTGGTTTTGTTACTTTCAGCTTCATTTTGAATTCAAACTAATTAAGTTCCTGCCAATTTATACAGTCTACACAAATTAATTTGAAAAAAAAATCCACGAAATTGATAAGTTAATCAAAAAGTATATATTTATTAAATCTTTAAAATTTAATGAACTGAAAGGCAAAGACTTAAGGCAAAACTAACTTTAGTGTCTGTTTCAGCATTTCTAGCAAACAATAACACACCGGATGTTGTACGATCCAACCTGTGCACAACTAAATAATAAAAGTTTGTTAAATGCAGAATTTCAGATATGTTGTATATTGAAATATATCAGACACATTTGCAGTTTTAAATTAAATTTAAATTAAACATATCTAATAATGATAAACATGATCAATGGAAAAATATTCTTAGTTTTCAAGACAACAATGTAAATATCATGAAGTAGTGAAAGCTGTAAGCATGCGAGTAAGCATTCCCAGTTTTGCTAGCAAATATAAATAAGAATTTCACTTAATATTAGCAAGTATAAGTAGGAATCCTACTTAACTTTGCCAGTATCGACAACTTTCACGATAGTCACTGAAGCTGATTTGTCCATCTCAAGTTAAAATTGAAGCAGTATTGTAGTTACAAAATACTTACTACTGTCCTGGTCCTGTACTAAATCCGGAACAATATATAAAAGTTGCTTTCAAAGTGAAACAAAGTTTTGGAAAATGTATTTACCTCTAAGACCACGAAGACCTCGTTGCTCCCGCAACATACCCAAAACTGTATGTACAGAATATCTGCCACATGGATGTACCGGCATACTTGGTGGCTTATCCACCACCAACATATCGTTGTCGTTATCGATCACTTTGATGTAATGATCCAAAATGGGATGCTCGTGACGATGTCCTATATGTTCAATCGAATCATTCTGTTGCACGATGTAATTAACATTTGTCATCTGATTACAATTTACCCAAATACGACCTAATTTACACGCCGCTGCCTGCAGAGAACAATATATATATATAATATATATATCCATATGCGTAATGGAAATTTTCTTTCGTGATAAATGTGAATTTTTCGTTGAGTTATGTAGAATTTCCATATATTAAATGCAAAAAGTTATAATTACTGCGTTGAAAATTCAAAAACTATGTTTAACTTTCCTTCGATAATAATTCATAACAAAGAAGTGAGACTTACAACTTTTACAAAATTTTGGAAAAAAATAACGAAAAAGACATTACAGGATAATGCCGGTTTAATGATACAAATTCTTCGGCAAAAATATCGACCAAACGACGTCCAACCCATCGTCCTTTAGCCCACGTACGATAAACACTCCAGTATGGCTTCAAGTATCGAATACCTGTAAAACCAAAGTCAGCATGCAATGAAATCACTGATCGTTGATTAATTTCTGAATTAATTAACATCAAATTAATAATATTTATACCTATTATTTTAGCCATATTACTTTAAAACAGATATGAAGAGATCAGTAGAAAGCCTTTATATAGGTCAAGTACAGAGATAAAATTTTGAGAAGTATTGTTAAAATGAACAAATTCCCTCAAAAATAAATCCAAAAATATGTGACAAAAAGTAGAACCATTTTTAATGTGAAAACTGACGTTTTCTGGCATTTGAACCAGCGTATCTATCCTGCTGTGTTTACGTTTTTTCGAGTCAGGAAACTGCAAAAGAAAACAAAGTTTGAAATACATAATCTTCAATTTAAAAGTACTTAATTTAAATTTCAAACAATTCTAGTAAGCAATATGTTATGCAATGGATAATGTGATATTTCCTAATATATGGTTAGTGAGTAACAAATGTAAAACATAAACAATAAATGTATGATGTAAAACGTTTATTGAATAAGCAGCAGATAAAAGTCGATAATACTAGTGGATGCAATATCATAACTTTAACACTGATAGCATACATTTTTTGCCATTCAGTGACTAATATAGCAGATAGTTGGATCATGAATGTCTTAGGCGACCTTCTGCATCTGAAACATCTTAACATCACTATAAATTTCTCAGAAATATGAAAATATTCAAAAACTACCCCCAACCTTTGAAACTCCAATTACACCACTATAAAAAATGTATGCAAAATTACAAACATATATTGTGAGAGATTTTTAAAAACGTATGCTAAATTAATGTGCTAGTTAAAATATCGTAGAATACGACGAGTCATTATGGGATTGATGAGATTTGAAAATACAACAATGACAGAGATTGTGACAACTATCAAAATGTAAATCATACTAAAAATAGCTAACAGTTAAAGAAAAATACATATCTCATTATGTGTATCATTCAATAGGTTTGGTTTCAATTTGCAATTAAACATTGAAAGACGACTGCAGTGGAAATAGTGCGTTATGAAACATAGAATACCACTCCAAGTAGAGATTAATTGATTGGTATGGTGTCGTATGTAATGGTTTTGAGCTTAATCTTAGTTTTGAGATAGTTGGTGATTTTGTTTTTATTCTTTTAACTTTAAAATGGCATTTTTGACAACAAGCAACAGCAAACAGCAATAAACAAGAACAAATAATAATAAGCAAGTAGAAATGACGACAGAAAAAAAAACTTCACATAATTAATCTAATGAGGTTTATTAATAATTTTCACTTCATTGATAATACATTCCTAAATTTTTATCTAAAAAGAATAGAAAGATTTTTAGAAGAAACAGAAGAAAAAGAAATCAATTTATTCCATTCCTATTTAATTAAATGATTTATTTATCATTTCTTCGGAATATTTGTTATAATGCAAAATTCTAATCCTAGTCCCCTTACTTTATTTAATACTTTTTAATCATAGTCAAGTAATCTTAGCCTCGTTACTTTATTTGAATACTTTTTAAAATATCTCCTGCCTTTCATATTTGAATATTGTGACAAATGATTGTGATTTTAGCTTTTCCATACTTTCATTTTATCTCTTTTTTCTTCTCCTCTCTACTTAATAAATAAATTTTCTTTCGTTTCACTTTTACCATCTTTTTTCTTTTGTTTCAGTTTTACTTCATCTTTTTCTGATTTACTTTTTCTATATCATTCATTTATTTCTCATTTTGAAATTTTCATTTTAATAAACGAATCTATCTCGTGCAGCAAATAGAAACAAAAAAAGAGGAAGATAAAACATTTCCTTTTCGTCTTGAAAATTTATTTAATATCTTTTTTTTTCTTTTAATTACACTTTCTACGACATTTTATTTTTCATTTTCTTTTTTTTTTTGCTCATTTTTTTGTTTCATTTAAAACAACTTGTTGCTTTTTTGTTAAATACTTGTCATTGAAACAAATTGTAGATGTAATTGTTTCATAACAATTTTCGGTGCTAATAGTAATAAGCTTTTTTCTTATTTTTTTTTTTTTCTTTTATGATATTACATTTCTGATTTAAATAAATGAACTAAAAGCGAAAGAAGCATACAATAAGTGGTATTAGCATATGATTATCAATTGATATAATGATAATGAATATTATGATAATTTGATGATAGCAATGTACGATGACTATAAATATTATTATGATATATTGCAATGGTGATAATATTTTACAATGAATTATATCATGATTTATCAATTGGTTACATTAATAAATTTAAGTTTATTAGGATACCACAATAATGTCAACAAACTTTTTTACAGAAATCCAAAAACATGACTTATTTTGTTCCTTCGCTGCCTTTTTGTTTTAAAATCGTCAAAATGATAATGCAGCCTTTTTTATTTTACATTACAAAAAGAGGAAGATGACAATAATATAAACTAATCATATCATTTTACCATATTCATCACTCAGATCCATCATATCATTTTACTATATTCATCACTCAGATTTTAGTAAATGAAAGCGATAAGATTTAGATATTGTTTGCTAATACATTAACATTTCCACTGATGTTAAAATGAAATAAAAATACTGAAGATATTAGCAATTTCACTATCATTCATCGTCGTATCATATATCCGTTCAATTATTTTAAATGAAAACCTTCGGATGAGCATTCAATCCTATTCAATTGTCTCTTTTTTCTTTACTCTCCTCTTTAATTTTTCTTCCATTTAAACACTGAAAATTGAATTTTCAATTCTGTTCTGTAGATTCTTTCGAAAAATGAAATTACTCTTCAAACAACGATGATGATTAATAATAATAACGGTGATAATAGTGATAATGAATATTTCTGATAATTTCTAATAATTTCTTCCCATGATGCTTAATTTTTCATTAATAGGATGAAAACTGATGCTTTTTCATGATATTTCTTTTCATCCTTTTCTTGCATATTGTCTAAATTCTTTCTCAATTGATTTCCTTTTTTAAGTTTTTCTAAGATTTTTCCAAATTATCTACCAGAATTTAATTTTTTTTTCCTTTTTATTTCCAATATATTTAGTTATTTCAAAAAAAAGTAGTTATTTCAAAATAAAACACTATTTTTTTAATTTTCTAAACACTTCTCTAAATCTATCACATTTTTTTTAATAAATTAAGAAAAAAGACACCAATGATCAGTTTTTATGCATTATTAGCGGTTTTTATTTGTTTCAAAGAAGTTGAAAAAATATACATTATTAGCAAAATTAAAACTTTTCGTGAACCAAATGAAATTTTTAAACAAAAATTTCAGAATTCAGGAATATTTTTATAATAATCAAAGAAAAAAGCGAAATATTGAGATTTTAGACATATCATTTAAATATTCTAATTGCTAATCATAACAATGTATATACAAATGGATATATTCACACTAAGAAAAATATGTATTATACCTAAAAATATTTGGAGTTCACAAAATACATTTTTACTTTTTTCTTAAGTATAATTTCAAAGTTTATCGCATTCTTTTTCTGCGGTTAAAAGAATTGAAACAATTGAAATGCGTAGACAAATATACTCCTAATTTAATCATTGATCTGTTGGTTTGATAAATTTTTTTTTCCATTATTCAAATTTTTATTTTAAGCAATGATTACTAGAGTTGAGTTGAACTGGATTGAATTGAAAAAAAAAAATTTTTTTTTTCAATTTTATATAAAAGGAAAAAGCTCGGAGTGCTAAAAAAAATTCACTGTAAAATGAAAACTTTAAAATTACTACATACAAATCACTTTTATTGTATTTTAATTCCTATTTTAGCAATTTAATAGCCTTTTTCTATTTGTTGCCAGCATTTCTTATAACTTGTAATTGGTGGTTATTGAATTTCTTTTAATATCAATGAAATAAATATTTTCTATAATTTATATTTAGTTTTAATTTACCATTTTAATTTCATATCATTGAATATTATTAATTAAACAATTTTAATTTTATCGCCACTCTTATCGGTTTTTTTTTTTTTTAAATCAAACATTGGTTTTAAAATTTGCTTCAAGAAAACTATGCTGACTAATTTTCAACTAATTGTTCGTTTAACCAAATATTCTTATCCAATATCAGTACTTTTCTAAAATCATATCATCATATTATCAAATGGATACGAATGAGGTAAATTGCTGTGTTATATTTTATCATTTACTCATTTATTCATCTAATAAGTCATGTCCATAGATATTTCATTTGCGTGATATTTCAAGATAGAGTTATGATAGAAATAACAAAGGTATAATTTTATTTTGCTAGAAATCGATTCCATCATAATAAGCATTTGATGGATGAATAATTTTACTAACTATTAACTGTACCATATCATTTAGTTCAAAATTTATTTTACTGTTTCATTGCTTTTCAATTTATCATAGCACTTTTTTATACATATATATTCTATTCTTACCTATTAAATTTTATTTGTAGCGATAATTTTAATATATTGCAATGAAAAGTATTGTCATTGCTTCTAGAATGTTTTGGATTTTATGCAAAAAATCTATGTATGACTAATTGTAAATATTTTGAAATGCTGAAGAATTTCGACATTTTTTGAATTCACTAGTGTTATTTTAATGATTTATTCGTTTTTCTTTTTTTTTTTAAAGAAAGAAAAAACAAAACGAAAAAGACTGAATAAAAGAGGAATAATAAAAAAATTGGATAAAAGGCAAACAATAAGAAATTTTACAAAACTGAATTTAATATCTTCAAAAATTTCTTTTTGTTCGACAAAACACGAAAAAAAAAATTAAATAATTTTATTTGATTTAAAATCATAAAATTCCATTCGATTTTTATTGCATGAAATTTCCCCTCTTTAACATTCATTTAATTCTTTCATCATTTTAATATCAAACATGAATTTTAATAATGGTGCAGGTTTTTCCTTTTTTTTTTGTTGCACACATTAGTTTTACCTTCAAATGCTATGATTCATATTTTTGCAATATTTTGATGGCTTTAATTTTATCAAAATGATTCATATGTAATTTTTAAAGAAAAAAGAGCGAATTTGATAAGTACTGTTAAAACATAATTAAAAATACGGCTAACAATTATTACTGTAATTTGGATAATCTTACACAAATTTCTTTAGTGCATTAAATATCAGTTTTCACTTTCTTTTTTTTTCAAAAAAAAGCAGTATGTATTTGTTAATTCATTGATAATAAGATTTATTGTAATTGTACATTGATTTAACCAAAAATATTTAATTCTAATCTAGCTATTAACAGAATATTGTTGGTGAAATTAACATATTCATCAGCTAATGTAAATTCTTAAATGCTATTAAAGAATTAGAATTTTTAAAATTTTTTCAAAAAATCCGGCCGAAATTTGAAAATATTAGCTTTTGAATTATTATCGTAGCTAGAATTCTGCTCTCATAGCTGTACAGAGTTACATAGTTTACATGCATAACAAGCTTTTGAAGAGAATTGCTATAATTTGAATTTGTAATCAGCTTCTGAAAAAAAAAAAGGCAACCATAGAAGGAACTGAATATCAAATTAAGCTATATATTCTGCTTTATTTGCCAGAAACT